TGCGTTTACATGATCAATATAGAACCCCCAATTAATTTTTTTTTATTATAAATCTTAGGTAATTTATCTCCGATGTATCAGATTGCTTGAAATTTGTATTCTTGACAAAGAGCTTGCAATTTCACTTGTTAACATCATTCATGCGTTAATAATTTTGAAGCGTAAATAATTTTGAACTGCAGATATTTTTTAACTACATAAGACACAAACCAAAGCCAAATAAAAATCTTCAAATGCCAAGACTAAACTGCTGCATTTTACTTGTTCGCCTTGCAAATGGAGATCACTTTAGATTCTACTACAACAAATGATTTCAAATTGTGTGCAGGTGTAATTTAATTCCTTTGTTGCAAGGCAAAATTACAAGCATGAAATCGTAGAGAGAGAGAGAGAGAGGGAATTCAATTTGCTTCAAAAATTCACAATAGACTTAAACTTTCATTTTATTATTTTGTCGTTTTGGATGTCATTTATTTCAGAAAATAACATTTCTGACTAAGTGTTACGTAAAATGTATAATGAAGTTTATTTGTTTACCTTTACTGGCAATATACTATGTGTATTTGTAAAATTTGAAATGCATTGACAGTAAATCTCTATAACATTTAAGGAAGAATAGAGTAGCTGAACCTTATCTCTGCTTGTTATGAAGGGCTTAATATCAGCTAAATTCTGTAGTTTTTGAACAGTACTTTGTGTGTTTTTCAAGATGAACTCTCGCCATCTCGTCACCGACTCCTTACATTTACATTAGTTGGAATAGCTTATTCCAAAGAACGTTGTACTTAGATGTAAGTGTAGTATAATACAGGTGTATAACTTATTTCGATTGCATTTTAGCCCCCTTGCCCCTGTAAACTTATCACAATTTTATTCTCATTTTAATCCCACTTTAATTTGCTCATATGACACTATATAATACAGATGGAAGTTTTGTCATCAAAAAAAAAAAAAAAAAAAAAAAAAAAGAAAGAAAAAAGAAAAAGAAAAAAAAAGAATGAGTTTCAGTTCATGCATGATTGCTTTTCATTGTACCATAATGAATTGGACATGTATACACACAGACTTTCGAAAGTACATTATATTCATAATGAGGGAGAAAAAAAAATCTTATATGCACTCCCAAATTGCCCTTAATCAGTTAATCATAGAAAACTCATTTTACAAGAAAAAAAAATGTATGTGTGAGGTAGGGGAGTTAATTTTTTAAAAAAAATACTCTTTCGGCCAGCACCGTGTTCATACAGGCAAGCGATAACCTGCAAAAAGCGTCGAGCGTGTAAAAATTCGCGGATCTAGAGGGGGAGGGAGGAAACACGTTGACTTTGGAAACCCCCTTCCCATAGAAAACACGGACCATTTACAGTTAGGAGAGTTGTTTACCCCCCCCCCCCACCACCCCCCCACCCTTTTTTTTGCTCGAGTCAAGAACTACTCGAATAGGAATGATAAGGCCATTCCAAGTTTTTTCTATGTTTAGCGTTCGCGTGCGCCTTGGTTTTTGAACCCAATATCAGAAAAAAAACATTGTCAAACAAAATCATGCAGGAGACCCGAAATTGATTATTCTAGTTGAAATCTTTCAGTGAATTCTATCATTTCTTGTCATGATCTCTCTACATTTTTTTTATATTTGGTATATTTTAAGCATTCAGTACCTTGATTTTGTTAAAGTATATACAACTAGAAAGGAGAAAAATATAATTTATTGAAATCAAATCATTTAATTGACATTACTTTTATTACTATAAAGTATGTTTTCTTTTTTTGGTCTGTGTGTTTTTTGTAGCTGCAATAATGTAGCCCTCTCCGATTTTTTTAATCTGATATTTTCAGGAGAGGGCTACAATATTCCACTGCATCTCCGTAATGGTGCAAATATATTTTTCAGATACGGGCGACTGCAGGCAAAATAAATAGTTTTTACATACAACTTACTTCCAATAAGACGGAATTTTTATACACTATCAACATTTACCAGTCGTTCTCCTCAGCAGCCATGACAGTTTTCGCGTGATGTACTGAGACTTGCGCTTGAATTTTATAATCATTTGATAAAGCAAATGACGGCGTTGATAAATGATTGTGTTGTATGGTATCACTAAACTTCGATAAATAAAAGCATTCCATGTGATATTTTTTTTTCAAAAAAAGTAAATATTTATGCATGAAATAAGAGAAATCCTAAAAGATCCGCTCCCCTAGATCCCGAATTCTCATTGGTTGTCCCAAAATAAAATCGATCAAGGTCAGTAAACATGGCGGATAAATTCAAGTTGTGATGTTGACATACACGAAAAATAACCGATATACGGATTGTTCTGTATATTTTTGGATCAATTCATGTCTTGCATAACTACATTTTATGAGTTCAGCTAGGTAAGATATGTTAATAAAATACCCACTTACTGCATGATAATTTGAGCCGAAATCTGTGCGGTAGTGAATCACTCCCGCACTTGCACCATTACGGAGATCCTAAGGAGTTGTAGCCCTAGTAGGAAGTCAAACATAAAACAATTTAAAAATTATACTAAGATTATTCAGTAAAGAAGTTTCCATATTTTCCAAGTACTGTGTAAGGATTTTAAAATTTCTCAATTTTATTAAAAGTGGATATTTTAATTTCTGCATCATAAAAATATGTTTAAATGATTTATAATTATATTCACTTGAAAAATGACAATGATAGATGTCTCCAAGATCGCAGAAAGTGGTCTTCCGACCCCCCCCCCCCACCTCCTCTATTGAGAGGGGGCGACTCCCTCTCTTTGCCTATCCGCAACTCGGCAATGATGCGCTTTAGGTGAAATCTGTGACTTCACATTAGCCTACACATTAGCAGAAGGGAATATACACCAATGTTGCCCAATAGGAGAAATACATAAAAAAATAAGTTTTCAATTACTTATCTTGGTCTAAGGCTATGAATACTTGAATTAATTAAAAATTGTATACATGTACAATACAGACTGGAATTTATTTTATTCCATATCAAATAGTAGATCAGTCTAATTGCACAAACGCACCCTTAAAAGTAATGAAATGTATCCTTAATTAAATTACTGTGCAGTTTAAAGACGGTCCTTAGTATTTCTTATAAATAATAATTTTCTCCCTCATCCATGTGCTAACTAAATAAATTATCGACCTACTAAATTCGCAATTCAACCATAAGACCAATTATAATATTCTATAGATGTATCTATTGTTTTGTTTTATGAGGAAAATAAGATTATATATATATATTTTTTTCAAAACGTTACCCAAAATTCATTTTTATTTTGTTTTGATACCTATAATATTTTTTCTTGAATTATTATTTAAGCAGATGACCCATTTGTTATAAATATATTCAGTGATTTCTTGATAGTAAAAATTTAATAAAGGGAAGTAATCAATTATTGAATCCGCCTTTTGATTGGTTAGTTTGGATCTTGATTCTCGAAACTCGAATTTCGAATATCTTATTTCGAAACTCGAATCTCGAATGAGCCTTCTGGGCTTTCGTACTTGTCAGATTACATTACATTCTTAAATTTATTAAATTTTACATTATCTCTGACAATAATTAAATATAAAAGATAAACTTTTTTACAATGAAAAAGTAAATAAACATATTAAATGTAGGTTTTGATGTGTGCATGATTCTAGACTGAATTTTATACAAATTAAAAATAAATAGGTTATGATGCACCAGATTCTGAACTGAAATTTTGACCAACTGAAAATAAGTAAACACAGTACACATCTCAGAATATGACGAAATAATAAATCAAGAGTAAGAAATAAGTGCATGTACCAATAGATTATTATTTGTGGATTCATAAACATCATGATATTTTATTCAATAATAGAAATTATAGTTAGATATACCATTATAAAAAATGTCTTGTATCTATGGCTATTTTCATTCTTATGTCGATACGATATATCCTGGTGAGCTTGAGATAAAAGATACCACAGAGTCTGACACATCTGTTTCATATTTGGATATTTTACTTGAAAAAGACGTTAATGGTAATCTAACAACTAAGCTTTATGATAAACATGATGACTTTAACTTTTCAATCGTCATCTTCCCTTACTTATGCAGCAATATACCTTCATCACCTGCATACGGGGTATATATCTCTCAGTTGATTCGATACGCAAGAGCATGCTCTACGTATGAACAATTTCTAAAACGAGGTAAATTATTGACAAACAAGTTGATGAAACAAGAATATCAGCTGTCTCGTTTAAAGTCATCATTTCGTAAGTTCTATGGTCGATACAATGACCTTGTCAGCAAATACAATTTATCATTGAGTCAAATGCTGACTGACGTTTTTCATACTAATTGTTAGGCCATTATTTACACACTGAATTGTCGACGGATTTTTCCGTTATTTCCCGATCATGACAAGGAGCACACGGCGGGTGTGACCGGTCGGCAGGGGATGCTCACTCCTCCATGGCACCCGATCCCACCTCTGATGTTTAGAGGTCCGTGTTTGCTCTGCTCCTATTTTGTATTGTTTAATGGACTTTTGAGCTTGAATACTGTTCGTTATCTCCATATATTTCATCTATAAATGATTGCATTACATAATTATTATACAAATGATGTATGATTTATAATTATGTATAGCCTCACATTCTATACTAAAATATTGTATATTTATGTATGAACAATTGATGATTCTTATAATGTGTTGTGCCTTTGCCAATTATTGTAATTGTGTTTGTGCCAATAAATATTTGTATTTGTATATATGTCATTAATATTAAAAATTTAATTTTAAAAAATATCCACCAAAAAAAAAATTAATTGTTGTTTTGACTATTCTCAAGTGCCGTTTTGCATATTTTCCAAAGGCCGTTTTCACCAGGTACCGTTTTCACTTGCACCCGAAGCCTGTGGTTTTAAATAGCGCGAAGACAAATTGTGTGGATACCGTTTCAGATTTGACCTTCACCTTAATAAACTTTTTTTTACCTCCACAGGACAAAAGAGCATGAAGTTGTTTTACCTACTAACGTGGACTATTCTCGCTAAGTCTGCATTTTCTTGGGACACTGATGATTTAGAGCTTTTTGATTTAGTAGAGGAAGTAAACCAAAATTTCTACGATGTTTTAGGGGTCCCTTCGGTAAGCCCTCTTTCGATCTGTAAATGATTCCAGTATTTTTTATGAACATCTGCCTGGTCTGTCGTAGTGCTTGCCTTATAACATATAGAATTCATTGCTTTTTTTTTTATTTTTATGTAGACAGCTTCGTCCTCCGAGATCCGGAAAGCATACCGACGTCTTTCACTCACTCTTCATCCTGACAAAAGCAAAGAGGAAAATGCTGAAGTTAAATTTAGACAAGTTAGTAAAATTCATTAAGAATCATTCTCATTACAGGTCCGGTACAATCATACATTTGTATCCGTAGCTAGAATTTCTTACAAAACTATTCAGAGTAGCTTTATTAGCTTTGAACTGGTTTGATAACAATTCAGGAGAAAATGCTGTTCAACATGTGTCTCCTCCAGACAGCTGCCAGAGCAATTTCAATCAAAGTTTTAAAAGTTTTCAAATATCAGTTGTCAGATATTTGTGAATTTTTGTTTCTTTCAAATAAAAAACAAACTTGTGAAGACTTAAGTGTATTAAAATACCTAAATCAAGCTACAGTGTACATAGCAGCTAAATGAAGATACATAGGTAGATCAAGTTACAAAGCTAATTTCAGTGATTGTACAAGACCTTTTTACAAACACAGTGTGTCAGATTCTTGACAATGTACAGAAAATTGAATATATCAGTGATCAATTTTGCATGGGCTCACCAAGTGAACCTGAATCATGATCATTCTCTCCCAAATTGAAAACCTAATTTTTTTTTTTTTTTTAAATATCAATTTAATGCACGAATAACATTTCTGAGTTGACGCTAACATTCAAATTTGTCTTTTTCAGTTGGTTGGTATATATGAAACTCTTAAAGATGAAGAAAAAAGAAAAAGGTTTGCTTATATGGCCATTTGCATCCATGCATTCCAATGGTTAATGACACTTCAAAAAAAAAAAAAAAACAATTATGAAAATAACAATAAGTAATACTTTCAATTTCTAAATGTACTTTGACCTGAATATTCTACTTGTAAGGCATAGTGTTCATTATGAAGATACTAAATCAACAGTTGAAACTTTTGGTAAACATGCATTTCATTTTTTCAACAAAAATATTCTGCTGTTAAAATATTATACAAGATATAGCATTTCATTCACAAATTAATTGCTAATGATAAGTCTCAATCTGTTTTTGACATGTTTCAGGTATCACTTAGTTTTAGAGAATGGCTTGCCTGACTGGCGGCAGCCGATCTTTTACTACCGTCGTGTTCGTAAGATGGGACTGTTGGAGTTCTTTGTAGTTATTTTCGTTATCACAACAGTGGGCCAGTATATTGTAATGTGGGCGGTGTATGCAGAGAAGAAATTCACATTGGTACATTTTTTTTTATTTATAATTTTTCAGATGTAACTTTTTTGGGGGTTATACAATGTAGATTTGAAATATTTCCTGGTAATTTAAAAATTTACATTTATTAATAAGTTTAAACTTACATATTATTATGTACAAAAAGGAACCTTTTCTCAATTGTTTATGTGTAAAATTAGTTAAATCTAATTTTTCCAGGACTTATATTTTTTATATGTTATATGCAACATATTTGTAGTCTGAAAACTTTGGCGAAATGAGGGAAAAAGCAAAAAGTAAAAACAGAAAAGCACGTCAACAATTAGAGGATAAAATAGACACTCTACTGGAAGCTAGATTGGAGGCCGTGCCTCGCCCTCGTATATCACAACTATGGCCGGTTGTATTAACCATATTCACTGTGATATCAGTTGTCAATATTCCAAAAAATTTGAAGAAGAGGAGGGAAGAAAGAGAAGAGAGGAGGAGGCAGGAAGAAGAGGAAGCAAGAATGAGAGAAGAGGAAGAACGTGAGGATAATTTTAATATTTTTTATCAGCCTTTGGAAAAAATGATATCAATATTACATTCAAGTATCTTATCATTTGTCCGCTCTGAAAACATCAAGAGTATGAATCTCAACATAACATTGTACATACTCTTGGATTTGAGCAACACTGAATTTGGCCAAATGAAAACTGAATTTTTACATAAATTAGACTTTGTCTCAGTGGAAAAAAATGTCTGTGTTATTTACAGTAAATTGACATCTCCTTGAGTTACTAATATACACAGGTGAGTTAAGGCTGGGTATAGGCATGTCTATGCAAAGAAACTAATTAAAATGCCTAAGGACTATATCTATTTTACAGAGAAGGTTAAAACTTATAGTCTAATACATACTTGGTACCCGCGACATGAGATAGCAAGTACACATTATGACGTCATATTATGACGTCATTGTTCTTTACTACACAAGATTATAATAGACATCAACAAAAATGCCTCGGCACAAGGGCATGCTCTATTTTATTTGACTGAAACAAGGTATATTTAGAAGCAAAATATTCCAATGTTTGCTGGTATTGCTGCACAAATATCAACAGCTCAGTTGTATAATTTCAATTCGTAAAGTTTTAAGTTGAATTGGGGTAAAAATGTACAGTCCGGTATAAGTTTCCTTAAATTCCGATCAAATTAGAAAATGCCTAGGATTTGTGCAGCGGTTTCATTAATCTATAGAATATTCTTATATATATACTTATATATATGCGTATGTAGATGCTGAAATCTTCTTATTCTGTTAATTAAATAATTTTGTCTTAATAATATATCTGTGTTTAACAGATTCTGAAATCTTTCTATTCTGTAATTTCTTTCTCAATAATTTTTAGTGTATCTAAATTTTATACTCTTAATATTTTCAATGATAATTATAGTTCTGGAAAAAGAAGAGAAATCTAAGCCTCGGTGTGATGCAGGATTGAATCCAAAAACAATCAAAATAGCGGAGGGAGAGGCAGTTGTATACAATAATGTCATCAAACATTCAGGTGATAAAGATCGGGAATACAAACAGGTCAAGGTTTGTAAAGTGGCTATTTCCTCACAAATAATTGTATATGTATACATGTATATCAGCTCCAAAATGTGATGGAGAGGGGGTCAATTTTGTGGAAATTCTTTAAATTCACATAGCAAATCTGTAAGAATTTAAGACAAGGGTATCTTTTTCTCCATCCCCCTTTCTGTAATAGACCCCTCCAGAATTTAATTTATTTTATAGGCCTGCTTATAAAAACATAATAAATTTTGTAGTTTGGCCTATTTATTAAAAAAGAAAGAATACTTCTTCTGGTACAATTTTGAAAATGAGTGTAAGATTAAAGAGGATATTTGTGACCAAGAATTGACAAGGGGTTTTACTTTGTAGAGTGGGGAATGGACAGATGAAGAGGTGGCAAAACTTGCAAAGGCTGCCAACAAATTCCCTGGAGGTACCCCCAACAGATGGCAGAAAATAGCGGACCTTGTGGGGAGGCCCACTGAGGAGGTGTGTTATAGTTGTCTAGGCTTAATACAAATCAAATCCTGATTAATTCACTGTAACTTACTGTAAATCATATTTTACTTTAAAGGAGTAAGTAAAATCCTATCTTACTAGATGGAGGCAAGTTTTAAAAACCTTATGTGATGGGAAGCTTTACATGTATTAAATGACTGCTGTTGTCATATGAAAATTGTGAAATATTTGTGATTTACAGTTACTAATAATTATTCTGTTCTTTTTTGTCATTGCATGTTATAGTCATGAATATACAATGTATAATCATGTATTTTCTGAAAATTTATATGTAGAAAAAAATATTAGTTATATTTCTACAACCATGTGTAGCATATAGACACACACTATTTATTTCAGGTAATTGCCAGGTGCCAAAAGATGAAGGACAGTCATGCTATGACATTATCTACATCAGTGCAAGGTAACAAACATTTAAAAAAGCAAGTGCAGCAACAAGCATTTAAAAAATTGTACAATTCTAAATTTGGATTGCATCTCTAAGACATGGCCAATCATATGCAGAATTTTTTTTTTCTTTTGGCAACCTTCAAAAATGGAGGAGAACTTTTTGATGACATTAAAATGTGATGGACCTTTGTTTGAAAAGTAGGGATATACAGTAACCATTTCTTTCCACAAAGAATTATATGCGGTAAAAGCATATTTTTTTTTTTTTTGAAAATCTCTAGAAATGTACAAAATTGTATACATATTGTACAAAAATTCTTAATTAACAAAAATTATATAATTTGGAAGGAGATTATCATCAATGCTTGTTTCACTGACGTCACAAACTATTTGAATTTTTCATTATTTTCAAGATAAGGGATGAAATGGACAAAATTTGTGTTATTTTGAGTATAGAATTTACTGAGCGCAAGCTTGCTACAGAACAATATTCACACATTTGATTGATATTATAATTCTACACATTATATCAAAAGATAGAGCTAGTGCAGACGTGTGCTTGATGACTTTTAATCAAAATATCGACATGAAATACACTATTTTCTCTCAAAACCATTGAAAATTTGAATTTACGTAATCTTTTTGATGTCATATCTAACATAGGACATCATGGCTGATGAAAAATTGGTAATGCTCTCAAGTCTGCAGATACCTCTGCTTTAGAACATAATTATAGATTTCTCTCTCAAAGTTTGATTTTGGGGCAGATATTGGTCAGTACCGAATATTGTCCTTTCAAGAAAATATTGGTCAGTACTGAATATTGTCCTTTCAAGAAATAAGGCAACAAAGAAAATAAGACAACAAAGTAGTTGGTGTTGAAAGATACAATGATGTCCCTTTTGAAATCAATGATGTACATTCATATATATGTTTAAGTATGAAATGTTGTGCAATGAATTTTTATTTGTAGGGGGAGTGGGAAAAGCTAAGAAATCTCAGGTTATATCAGATGACATCATATCTCAAAAGTCAGTTGAAAGTGGTGACAGTCAACAAGAAAAGCAAGCATCTCAAAATGGTGATATACAACTCAGAAAAAGAAGCAAAGCTTCCAAAAAGACAGTAGATAGAACATTGATGATATCTGATGTAGAAACACTAAAGAGTTCTTCTAAGGGGGATAACTCTACCTCAGAAGAAGGAGCTTCCTGTGATAATACTCAAGACATTTTAAAACTTACTGATGAATCTGATGGTTGGAATAAAAACCAGCAGACAATTCTAGAATGGGCATTGAGACAACACCCAAAAGGAACAGACCAAAGATGGGAGAAAATAGCAGATCATATTCCAGGAAAATCAAAGGTAAAAAAAAATTGTACCTGTTTTTTTGTATCCTTAGAAACAACTTTCACTTACACAATAGATGTTTATGAATGTACACTACAGTAATTGTTTGCAGATATACAAAAATATGGTGAGACATCATGTTTTTCAACTGTTTTTAAAGTTTCATTGCTACAGACAGTTAATTGAAGTGAGAATTGAAAGAAAAACATACCAGAACGCTTTTTAAATTGATTACTGGCTGATATTCTTACTCATACACAAAACATAGATTAACAAGCAATATATCTACATGTAAAGATTTCTGTATTTGCTGATTCATATTATGATTTCTTAAACGTTATGCTTTCATATTTCTTTTTATAAAAGCTATTTGAACAATTTTTTATCAAAATATTTATACTTTGAATGAAATTTGTATTTAAAATTTGAAAGATTTTAGTATTAAGTTCTATGTCAATTTAGGGAGTTGCTTTGTACATGTACCACACATAATGAAAATTTATTGATGTTATTTATTTTACAACAGGAGGATTGTATATCCAGATATAAGTACCTAGCAGAACTAGTGAAGAGGAAGAAAGAACAGACAGGAAAGAAAGACTGAAGACATAAATCTGAATCATATTTTTCTCACAAAAAAATTCAATTGTGCTGTGAACACTGCCTTCTGTTTGGGAGTTAATGAAAGATCAGAACATGATGTAAACAATGCCCAGTTGCACATTTAAAACCATAGGTCAGCTCACAGACTGTGGACTGAGTATACATGTACTTAAAAATCCAAAGAAAATTCATGCATTAAAATTAGTCAGTAAATAGGCACATCTTACATATATTTTGATGTACTGTATGGATTCTTATTGAAGAATTAAAGTAAGCATGGAAGCTTACAAAATATTTAAAAAAACTATATTTAGATATCATGCAAAAGTAGCTGTCATTCAGTTACAGAACAATCATTGTTTTAAATATAGATACAAGATTTTGTCATCTCTATATTGAGACTTAATTGTTAAGCTTAGAGAGTGTGCTTCATAGGATTATTGTACTTGCCAAATTTATTTTTACAAATTTCTAAAGAAGGATAGTTGTTTTTAGATTTTTTAACAGCAATTTTTTAATAAACTTGTTCGAAAAATGTGTTATCAAACTAATCTGATTAAAATCAGATCCATTGATCCGCTCACAAAGATCGCTACACAAACACACCTTAAGAAGTTTTAAAAATATTGACGTATCTTAAGGCATATCTTGCATATCGCTGTAACTTATTTAATTTTTAGAGTAATGAATGCCAGAAATATTCTTTATGTGAAGTTGTTAATCTTAAGATGTCAGCTGATTTTGAAAGGGATTCCAAATGCTGCTGATAATCAGCACTTTGAAAATTATGACAAAATGCTGGCTAGCCTTAAAATAAGAATAAAGGAAACTTAAGAGACAGAACCATATTGACGGAGGTAGAGAAACACCAATTGACATAAAGGAGTCATAAAATTAGGTTTTATTAATATAACTGTTGCGTTGAATTTGTATGTATTAGAACTGATTTGAGTTACTGGTGTTGGTTGGAGGGGGATTGTCATGGAAAAATTTGCAAACGTCAAACAATAGTTTCATTATATATTTTATTCCTGTTTGAATTGAAAGGAAATTCAAGGAAAATTCAGCGGCTCAGACCTTCAATTGATTCACATAATTCTATACCGACAAAGCCAGTTCATTCCGGCATTGTTTAGTGTCGATAGGTATTTATTCCGGGACAAATTAAGATCCCTATTTGATAACATGTATTAAAAGGGTACAAAAAGTTTGCCAGACGGAACCATGATACTAAAAAATATTATTCTGTTGAAAAAAAAATGTACTTTTGGTTTTTCGAGGAATTGAATTAATACGATAAAAACGTTTGTTCAGGTCAATACTTTAATCACTGATCAATGGAACCCGGAATGTTTTGTCAGTATGATTTTTTTTGGAATGAACATCCACTCAGATATCTTTGATTATCTGAAGATTTCATCCTTTCTTTTGGTATGCGCAACGATTCATTTTTACTGAATTGTGCAGAATTATTGAATTTTCATCTTGCATCGATACCCAAATTATAGCTTTGGTGTAGTCTACGAGTAGTTGTTTGCCATGTTTTATTGAAACCAGAACCAAAACTATAGGACGAAAAGCGTTTAACTAAATTTTACATAAACTTCTCTCTTTTTCTTTCTTTTAAGTAACCAAGAATTAATACACCATTCTTTTAAATATATATATTATTCACACAGAATTAATTATTCATCTTAGTGTACTTGTAAACGAAGAATTTATGTAGGAGTGTAGCATTTTGAAAAATTACAGACAGACGATGGGCACCTTACCACCACAGGATCTCTTCTAATCTTTGAATAGTAGAGCTAAAAATTATCAGACAACATTCTGTACGTGTCGCCGTTACATTACTATATCTTTTTCAGTACATGTCATTATTTTTCTTTTGCATCTTTTGGTATATTCCTCTTACTTGAAGCATCATTGATAACTGTTTATTGCTAGCTTTACCAAAGCTATAGATAATGAGTTCGATTCCGTCAGGGATTCTGCTATTAAGTTGTTTGTTCTTTGATTGTCCTACTTCTGTAACAGGTCCCGTGTTTTATGGAACAGCTTCATCACTTTTTGCTTTCTCGCTCGCTGATATTAACTGGCACTATAATTCTGAAGAAATTAAGTTTCTAATAAAACACCATCAGCCATTGATTCATTTTCTTCAGGAGTGTTCGTTCGGAATTCTCAGAAGAAAGACAACCAGAAGTTACAGATAAAATTATGCATTACAGCTTCAGTAATATTTTGACATCTAGATTATGTCAGATATGCAACAGTTCAAAGGCATTACTGTTTCATCCCCTTAAACAAATACACACTTCACCTAATAGGTTTAATTAATGTAAAGTAATAAATGCATGCTGCAATGGCATTTTTAAACAAGCTTGGAAATTGAGATGTGAAAAATAATTCACAATTTCTTCATGCTCTTAGAAGTCTGAATTCTTGTGCTAACGAGAAATTCTGAGATTTCTTTTTATTGATGTATGCTATGCATGAAGCTTTATTTTGAAATATTTTTCTAGAATGCTTATATTTTTTAAAGTCTGTCATATATATATATATATATACGAGTATATATATATATATATATATATATATATATATATATATATATATATATATATATATATATATATATATGGGTGGGTGGGTGGGTGGGTGTATGTATGTATAACGGAAATTGACGATGGAAAAGCTGAAGTCATCTCGTTTGTCATACAACTTAGTTAATAGTTGGCCCTTATCGTCTGTAGTCAGTAAAAATCCAAGTATGAAACAGATGTAGCAGAATCTGAGGTGTCTTTAATTTCGAATGCACTTGGATATATCAATATCGACATATGAATGGAAGTAACGATTAATTGTTAATTGATGAAACACCGTCGATATATCTGAATGCCGAGCTGAAGGCCACAGCAAGCGTTTTCTTCTCATGTGGAAGCTATTGAATAAATTTTGCTTCATAGGACTATAAAAACAGGTCGGCTAATAAAGGAGCACAATTAGAGCCCATTGGAATACCAAGCTGAACATTATGTTGGACCACAAAGACGTGTCAATGAGGAACTCCAGCATCCTTTTTATATCAATTAGAGAACTTGTGTGTATAGAATCAGCTAGAGTGATTTTTAAGAATTAATTTTGCCGATGACAAAGATAGGAAAATTTCCGAGTTCCATTTTTATTGAAGAAGCAGTTGTCTACGATATAAGTCTATTTTTAATTTCGCGAAGAATGGTTGTACATAAAGTGCAAAAAAGTCATACTTTTTGATGTTAAGGTCAAGATCTAGTAAATGAAAAGAGCCTACAGATTTCTCAAACTTGAGAAATAAATTCCTTTTATGATGCTTTATAACTATAGCTCGGTCAAATAAGGTGTATCGGGGCATAATTTGCAAGAAAACAAGACGAAAAACCATCTTGTAAACTGTCATTTTCAATGAAAAATTAAGAAAGCCAGTCACGAATATGGGAGTTTTTTCCATATCAGACGAAGGAAATGTATTCAGATTGCCTACAGTCTCTCAGAAAACGGTAATTTGTATGTTCTTAGCCTCTTCTTTAAAACAATGTAAAATTGAATATAGGTATCGGGATTACTTTTCACATGATTTCAAATTGAATGCCATGAAAATACTTTATTTTCTACATAATTCTATTGGAGCTGTAAAGTACGGGAAAAGGAAAGTTTAAATTGATTATGACGTCATAATGGATCTAGCACCGAAAAGACGGTCTAAAGTCATTTACTAGATCTTGACCTTAACTTGATGACTTTTGAAAAAAAGTGTAATTTTCAATTTTCTAAAAGTTCTTTGGAGTTTTTGAGAATCCACATTTGATTTACACCACTTCCAGAATATGCTGTAGCACAGTACGTCTGAAGTTTCTTCTTTCAAGCAGTTAATATTTTTGTGAGGAGTAAAGATAGGGGTTTGGTAGAGCATTTGCTGGACCCGGCAATGTATCTTTTTTGTAAGGATTTTTTATAGTTTAGGAATCCAGTATAAGTAGGATAGAGCGTACCTACCTACGATGACTGAATTACTCAAAGTAATAAATTGGACTGAAATGTTATTTTGAAGAATTTCATCCTTAGAAAGTGAACTGTGGGTATACAGTGGATTTCTAGGTGTAGAATTAAAACCAAGTTCTTCTTAAATACATTTGTAATAATAAGCCTCACAAACAAAGACGATATTGTTACAAGCCTTGTCTGCTGGAACCATAATATATTGTTCATGTAGTCTTTCTAATTCTTGTATCACCTCTGATATAGTGAAAACGGAAGGATAGATGGTTCGTACATTGCCTTTAAACTTTATACCACGATTCTTTGATATATTTCTAAAACATTAGTTACATTCTAACAAAGTGTTCACGTCTTCCCCTTCATATTTAGCCCAATGTTTGACATAATCTTCAACAGAATTAATAATAGAAATGAAGTTATGTCACCAATTAAAGGATGAAAGTCGGGGCTATCTGTTTTTGGACCTAAAAAAAATAACTTCAGTTTAAGGAATTGAACTTACATGAAAATTCTTAAAATTCAATGACAACGGCATTCTTCATAACATTAGATCAAACATTTGTTTTTGTAAACCTGGGCACGAGCTCTAGCTGTTATTTCTAGTAAATGTCAACGTTTTACCGGGTGTATTCAATATGTTTACTCACCACATATCATTGAGCACGTACTGACAATACTGGTGAGTTGGTTTTGCTTTCCCATATTTCTGCTCTGAATTTTCTGAGTTTTTTATTATTACACAATTTTTTTTCCAGATTTAAAGAAGTTTCTAAACACGCTTTCAAAATATTTCGGTGTTAAATGTAACATATAAGTAATGATATTATACTGAAAATTTTTGAAAATACTAACTTCAAATCTGTGTCCAAGTCCCTTGAAATTGCTGTGCACATTAAATGAATTGATGATATACATTATGTGCTTTTATGTTAATTTGGCACTTTTGTAGAAGTCGTTGGGTAATTTTAGTCATTCACCATAAAGACATCTAACAAGATTTAGTTTCTCTTTACTTTTGAATACTTTGCACCAATAATGGCTTGACATTTCCAATGTTCCAAATTTTAGATATATATTTAATCTGTTTTGGATTTTTCAAATTATCAGTTTACCTTTTGCACTAAGGCCGCAAAAATCAGATTACACTTTAAAGGGCTGATTTTCCCGGTGGTATTAAAGGAATTACATAAAATTAATGCTTATGTCTCACACGGTGTGGGTATGTTTCTATTTCAAATGTGCCCAATCTTTTGTCAATTAGACGATCCTTGAAATCAGGTTTGTCCTTGAACTAGAAATAGAGGCAAAGAGTGGGAAATATAAACTTTATGTCTTTATTTTCGCAATCATAGATGTGATCTTATAAAAGTAACCCAGTCTCATTAAAATAAATGTAACAGAAATATATATAAGAAAACATTAATTGGGACCGGGGTGACACTCGAACATAACTTCCACAATCAAGTAAAACTGAAATAAACAATGTACATATTAATCGTTTACCATTAATATACTAGACATATCAAAAATCAAATATCAATTAATTCAGCTAAAAATTGGGAAATGAATATTTACTTATCGCTAACAAATTTGAACTCTTACAAAGTTTTAAGAATAGAATTTTTTGCTCGTCTTTATGCACTTCTAGAAACGATTTACATAATTTAATAATTAAAAAAAACTCTATCTCCCTACATAGAAGAGTTGTACTTGTTGATAAGCAAATGCATGTATTATTTCCCTTTAGCTAAATATATTTGAGATTGTAAAAATAATTAAACATGATATATTAATATATATATATATATATATATATATATATATATATATATATATATATATATATATATATATATATATATATATATATATATATATATATATAACATTATAACATTCGGCTTATAACAAAGTTCCAAGGTTTTTACTAAAATATATTAATAGATAGTGCATTTACAAGAATCATAATTAATTGTTAAACCCAAATTAAGAAAATTAGGAAATAAAGTTCTAAAGTTCTAAGTTGAGTTTATCTTTTTTAGACAAAAGTCAGAAACCAAATTCTGAACCTAATTCCAAAATAATTTAAATCCGTCTTTAAAAAAATTGAAAGTAAATAATTTAAATACAGGTACATACCTATAAATAGAGGCGAAGAGTGGGAAATATAAAGTTTATGTCTTTGTTAGCGCAATCATAGATGCGATGCGCATTTCCCAACTCTTGCCCATTTTAAAGAATTAGTTCTTGAAAAAGGACCAATCAAAAATTATAACTTAGGATTTTCAGAAAACAATTAGTAAAAAGGCAATTAACGAGTAATGATAATTAATAGTTACAAACAACTTTTCGCTAAAACAATTCAACTTGAGTAAACAAGGTACTCGGTGACTTCTGGTGCTTGAACAATTAATTGGTTTACATCTGTCTGACAGCAAGAAAAAAATAATTACATCAAAGGTAAAAAGTGAATAAAATACAATTAGACTCAGATGTCACAATTTAAAGAAAATATACTTTGAATCGTGAATTAGAAATTATAAGACATTTTACACATTAAATATACAACAACCAGAAAATAGTGTAGTAAGGAAAACAATGTCACATATTTTAATTCTTAAGACAAAGCTATAAAACTATATTTAGGCTAAAATAAGGGCTTTATATGCGACTGAATGGATTTAAATATATATAAAAAAAAAATAATAAAAATAGTCAAAAACTAGGTTTGACACTTATAATAAAAGAAAAATAAGTTGTAGCAAAATAAAGATGAAAAAGAAATTTTCAACACAAGAAAGGAAAATATGTAATTATAGAAATTTGTAAAACCGTTTGTACAGGCTTTATTATTGCTTGAACTTTTCTTGAACCATCCTTATTTTTGCATTCTCCCCAAAATCTGTACTCTTATATCATTATTAAAATTAAATATAAAAACAAAAAAATACTGAAATTCCTCTAAATGTCCTCATAGATGTTCTGGATATTGATGTATTTCATTCATTTGATTGATTCATTTTGTTGTGCATGTGATTGCATCCAATAAGTCCAGTATGTTCACATAAAAAGTCCCACATCATTTGTAGCTTCAAGTCATGTGAGCTTTAAATGTCAGTTCTTTCCTGAATTTATTGTTTACAATGGTAAGCTGTGGTCCTTATGCTTTTTACAGTTTAAATGGTGTTGTATCAATAGAAAGTCATTTCAGCATATAAAACATAAATGTATGTTATGTATTAATAACACACACACACACACACACCCTCACACACACACACACACACACACACACACACACATTTAAGTCAATATGAACACACTTGCATTTTTAAATTAATATACAGATGTAGATATAGGATCCCTTATAAAAAATACTTTAGTAAACTATTGTTAACTATAGTGATAACTTTGACACTTTGAATTACTATAGTGATCACTATGACACTAAAGTGATAACCATGAAAACTTTGAAATACTTGTTCTAATTGTAAAATATGTTGTAAATATCTGCATTGGTCTCTTGAGTGGGTTTCCTCAGCTGTGCTGAAAAAAGAGATTAAAAATACATAAATTCAAACAAGAATTTCTTTTTAATAAAAACAGCGAAATAAAAACGTCCATGGATCACAATGCATATTTTACTGTCCCTTATCTCACAGCAGAAAAAAATCAATTAAATGACCCATAAACCAAAACGTGATCAAAAGATCATGAATTAAAATATTTTAATGTAGTTATATATTGTCATCATTTACTCCTTTGTAAATATATTATCTTGCGTCTGTTCTCAATTTGTTTCTTGGAGCTTTCATCGTAATATTTTCCTATGCATCATCCAAAACAATTTTTTTGCATATTTGGATGTTTGATTATTCAAAATTTTCAAGAAAAAATTCTTTAATTCTGATTTCACATGTAGGTTTTATTCTGGTATTGTCTATACTGGTCCTGATGATGATTTCAGCAATCCTGCGTTGTGTTTGTTTAATATTAATTACAATTTAAAGATTTGTTGATATTCAAGACAATTTTGTATGTTTCTAATATATTTTCCTTTTTAAAAACTGCAATTTCAATTTTGAAGGAATCCTTGTGCATTGGAGAAGGGACTGCGAGTAATTTGAAGAAGAAAAATTTGAATCTGTACAATAAATGGGGGCATGGCCTACATATTTGACAAATCATATCCCTGTTATTCTTGGAAAATTTCTTCATTTGATTTAACATTTTAAAGTTTTATTTCAAGGCACAACTCTTATACCCCGGACCATGCTCCTAACAAACGTTGCAATGCAGCACAAAATTTAGAAACTTTACAACCGTTTTGTTATTTCTTTGCATGGTGGCCTTAAAATAGAAGCGTTCGAATAAGTCTCTTCTTTTTTTTTTTCTTTTTTTTTAAAATATATAATTGATACCCACAGAAAGAGAGTTATACTCTTAATTGCATAAAATGTGAAGCTCTTATTCTAATCCAAGGAGTAAAAGGATAAAAAGGTAAAGTTTTTACCAGTAGACAAAGTCTAGAAAATAGACAACAAACGACTTTGACCTGAAAAGCTCAATGAAATTTCCAGTTCAAGTGATACAGTGTCGATTAAATTTAATTTTTTCCACTGTTTCCATTTAAGTATCTATTATTTAAGTTAAACTGTATCCGAAATGATTTTTTGATAATGGAGATTAAGTTTATTTTGAATTCAGGAATAAATTTTAGGAATACTTACCAAAAATTCCTGAATGTTTAAATATCTGTATATATTTATTGTGGTATTTTCCAGTGATCCGACAAAAAGACGGTATTTGTTATCGAAAGCCAAATTTCGTGGTCTAGATATTGTATGATCTTTATCTAGTATATGCGAAAGGAACCTCCCGTCTTTGTCAATCATCTGTACTGTACCTGTGAATTCATCACATATAAGAATGTTTGAAAGTGCATCTGTACATAATCCATGTGGTTTAAGTCTGGTCTGGGCCAGGTCCTCTGTAGGAGAAACGATATTGACCTCTACTATCTGTAACTACTACAGCCCCATGGCAATAATCAGACACGATAACATCTCTACTTCTCTGTTATGTATATTGGTTTTATATACAAGGATTGACTATAGTTGTTGCCTTTAATGGTTTGGATTTTTTGACCTAAACTGGTATAGCGATTAACCATGGCAGTCTGAGTTTCACGACTTCCCATACCAACTAACAGCTCTTCATATGAAGAGGAGAAGTGGATGCAAAGAGGTTCCCATTCTTTTATTCTCTTTATGAGAATCATCCGGTTGTAAGTTTCAGTTTCCTGTGATATTTTGCAGATGTTATCATTATTATCTACATAAATCAGTTCACCAAGACTTGTAACTGTATAAACTCCATCTCCATATGCTTTCATATCATTTAGTTGGTGCAGAGGTTTACCTTCTAGGTTCAGTAAGACAAGGTGTTTATAATAATCACTAATCCAGAAGGTCTCTGACGTAACACAGGAAATATGATAGGTTCTGTTGATGACTGATTGTTGAATAAATTTTAAAAATTCAGTTGGAATCTGTTTCAGCAAATGCTTTTTCCTTACTTTCCTTTTCCGATTCTCTAAGACGTCGATTTCACTTAAAAAACTGACAACTAGCTCTTTATTGATTCCTTGACTCAAAGATAATAGCGGAAGTTTTGAACAGTTCTTGGGTATGTTCATCTTTTCAGAAAGAGGAGCTTTCTTGAAAACTAAGAGAAACTGGACAGGTGCCACAACAGGACATTCGCTATTGCCTACTAAATATTGTAAGGTATTAATATGTCTTTTCACGGCTTTAGTTTCAGTATGTAACTTTGCTTTCATGTATTGTTTTAATTTTCGTACAACTGTCATCTCCATAAGCACACAGTCTATTACACATTTCATTTTTAAGGCTTTATTCTCCATAGATAATCGGTATTGTGTTTTTAGCTTAGTGCACTCACTTTGCTCTATGTCAGATTTGATTCCCCTCAAAAGAGCACAATTGTTGAGTAGAATCTCGCTTCTAATGTTCACTATTTGGTTTTCGTGTTCCCTCCACATCTTGTCGTAAATCTTTCCAATAGAAGATAATTTGTGGCTGCTGTGGTCATTACACGAATTGCAAAATGGGGTATCACACTGGTCACACCACTTGTGGTAGAACTTATCTGCGTGCTTTTTGCAAGATTCGGGTACCGTAAAATCCCCGTACTTTAATCTATCAATGACTACATCATGTTCCTTAGTATTGAGATCAATAACATGATTTTCCTTGCAAGAGGTACAGAGATCAAGTTTACATGTTTTGCAAAAGTATTCTGCATCCCTATAGAGACACTTCATACAGAGTGGTACTTTCAACTTCGTGTTCATAATTCTGAAGGGGCACTTCTCCCGATGTTTAAAATGTTTCATAAATAATAATGACAATAATGAGAGTGCAAGTTTTCAATGTTGTTTCTTTCATTGATCAGTTAATTCCTTATATCAGAAATATCCGACGTTCTGGTTTAATTTTATTTGAGAATTCAACAATTTTCAAAGTCACACAGGGACCATTTTCATTTTAACGATAGGCCTGATATTGATTTTCCAGTTTCAAAAACATGCACACTTTACCAGAAATAAAAAAAGAAGGTGCTTGAAATTATTACCGACAGCCCAAAATGAACAAAGGATACCACTTTGGATGAATATACTGCTTGTGTCCAAATATAATGATAGCCGGATTCACTAAGAAGATGTATACATGACCATTTAGAGTTTTGTTTTCGTTAATCACAAACTGTTAACAATGTGTAATATATACAATTTACGGAAATGGTTAAGATCGTGCGATATTTACAAACAAATATCACTGATTTTAACGGGAAATATAAACGAGCAAATACGGGAAACCCTAATTAATTTGGTTGTACATTGTTTCGGCCCTGAACATATTCACATATATATATATATATATATATATATATATATATATATATATATATATATATATATATATATTAGAATAACACGTACATTGCGTGTTTCTTCGTAATTGTTTTTAGAACATAATTAACGGCATTTATTATTGATGTTTGAAAAATTAATAATTTGTAATAGCTGTAAAAATGATTTTTGTTTCATAAGGGAGATGAAAGATGCTTTTAAAAATTCGCAAGCTTCATAAAAATGATCTAGAGTAACCTCTCCTTGTTTCGCCAAGTATATATGTAATATATAGAGTACCTTTTAACGAGTGTATCTTCAGATATCAGACGAAGGGGCTTGTCTCCCGAGTCTGATATCTGAAGATGCACTCGTTAAAAGGTACTCTCTATGTTTTGTATCATTGTTCTCAGGTATTGAGTTACCAATAATCTATCAATTTCACGTTAATAACACGTAATTCAACTATATATTCTCATGCACTGAATTAGCCATGATCTATCAAAATTTCATCAGACCATTTGAGCCGTCCCATGCGAAAAGGGCCCTTATGTATTTTGACGTCATAATGAGTAAAACGCCGGTAAAGATAACGTCATAAAATGCAAGTTGCATATGTTATATATTTTTCCAACATTTTGACCTGAGCGCTATCAACTTATTTTCATTGTTGTTTATATCATTTAGAGCCAATAAAATATCAGGGAAAAAAAGAAAATATGAATTTTAGAGCTAAGTTCCATATAAATGGACATTTCCAGTATTGAATATTAAATTTTGCTGATATACATGTAATTAGGTGCTAGGTTTTTTTTTTTTTGGTTTTTTTTTTTTTGGTTTTTTTTTTTTTTTTATTCAATTCTTAATACATTGAAAGCGATTGTATATGCACATAAACGATATATACCTCAGAGTCTGCATGTACAAATCCTTTTTAACACAAATATATAGTAACCAAAGTGAAATCATTAACAATAAATGAAAAAAAAATCTTAAACCGTTTCCAGCATATAGGTTTATATATGCGATTAAAATTTTGTTCAGTTCTACATGTAGCAAATAACGAAGTTTGAAAAGGTTGATTCTTTGTAAAGCATTAAAAATGAAGAAAACATACGATTTATTTATTTTTTTTTTTTGTTTGTTCAAAACATTTATTCTGTGTGTATAAACGCGATAAATGACGATCTGCCTTCGTCAGGGTCATTTGCGGGTCAAGGTTTTTGTTGTTTCATTCATGTAAAGAACCGGTTTTTACTGTTTACGGAGACGGTCTAGCTTCTGGTTGAACGAGACTAATGTGTTATTTCTTGAAATTTGAGAATAAAATCTAGTATCATTTGTTAAAAGTCTTGGACCAGGCGGAAAAAAATGAGAAAAAAGTTAATGCTGCAAAAAAAAAAAAAAAAAAAAAAAAAAAAAAAAAGATTTTTTTATGCATTATATGGGAAGATTTGAGTTTGCTACAAAAATGGGGGGGGGGGTGTTAGAGGAGGGTGCAATTATCCATTCAATGAACATCTTCATTCTATATCATTCAATTACAAGTGAAACATTATGTATGGAACCCCCACCCTCATCACCCTATACAACATGCCCCAAAACATAATACGGGGAAATTAAATCTGAAAGATTTAATACATATTTATTTCCCTGTGATATTGCATCTGATTATTAATAATAAAATAATAATTTATTATTTTAATTTCTTCCAAAGATGCAGTGTTTGTGTGAATTAAAGGTTACGAAAATAAATACATTTTTGTGTAGGAATGGGAAGAATGACTGCTTCTTTTTTTTTTTAGTGAATCATATTTGGCCATTTCTTTACGCATGTACGTAACAACGTTTTCAGGAAAAAAAGGGGAGCTTAAAATAACAAGTTAAAAATACCCCCTCCCCCCCAAAAAAAAACAAAGAAAGAAAAAAATGTATTTCGGTAGGGGGTTAATCCCTTTTCGACAAAAGAAAATTTAGCTTAAATGGCAGTGCTCAGCAATGTCGGTGATACCACCAGAGGTTACTCAATAGATATAGATACAAGAATATCCAATGCATATAAATTTATCAGACCTCGGGTCAAGGGGCGTTTCACAGATACTAGTACAAATTGTCAAAATTTTACGAGCTTGAAACGACAGGTTGTTAGTGTCAGCGAAGAAAATTTGATTTCTTTTTAAATCTGAGATAAATACCTCTATCAACGTGCAAAATCGACTCTTGAAATAAATCTTAGTTTGAATATTATTTAAAACATATATTCCTTTTATCAATTTTAATTACAAATCTTTATGTAGTGTAAGTTGCCCTCAACACTTTTTAAAGGCCTATTTAAAAAAATTTAATCAATGTCAATACATGTCATTTTATCACTCAATTCGCTAATTGTTGTTATATACCAATATCTAAATTGTATGTGTCCGGAGACCCGACGAATTACTGGCCACTTCCGTTTGTGTCCCCGCATGTATACCTTGAAAGTTAAAATTGTTGCTTTGATAAACTCGGAAACTGATTTACTCATTACTTTGGATTTATACATGGTAATATGTGATTTCGGGAAGAGTCCTAAGAAAACAGCACTACTACTTCCGGTCCACAGCACCTCTCATATCACTGCCAACATTCCCTCTTTCCCGATCAATGACATATCTTATTAGACCCAAACTAAGCGGTCATACTTCCACAAAATTTGAGAACCACAAAATGAATGGAAGAATATGTAGGCCTAAGCTTTTGATTTCTTTTTCTTCCAACGAAATTTAGCGAAAAGGGGGGGGGGGTTACCTGGTGAATCAATGTGACATAAAAAAAAATTCAAACTTCAAAATATATTCTAAACTTATAATGACCGTAACCTGCAAGCCTGTTTCGTTTTGTTTTTTCTTCAAGGCTTCATCATAGTTATATGGGTAGAAATTTGTGTGAATAACAGCTGACGACTCAGGACACCGTTTTCCCATTATCCTCAGTTTTTGTGAGATTACATGTTCACTACAAGACATACGAATATCGACCTGCTTATAAATCGGTACAGAGCAAATAGGCGGTGCAAATATTGTGACGGTTTACGCCAATATTGCAGGGAATACGACCAACTTTAAAATAATTTTGTATAATAAATTCTCCCGACTCAGGACAAAAAAATTGGGTAGGTAGGTACATGTAGGTAGGTGAGAATTTTTTTCCCCAGAAAATTTTAATCTCAATGCTGAATTTTTAAAATCTATTTTCCGAAATGCAATAAAAAATGCTTCCTGGCAGTTAAAATGAGTTTTGAGTCGGGCCATTTTTAGCTAGTCGGAGAGGGCGATCAACCAATTTTGACAGATGTTCTGATATGTACAATATCGTAAGAAACATACATTACACATGTAAAAGGGGGAAGGGATTGTCTCGGCACTTATTATTGCCTGTGTCAATATTTACCAGTGTAGGACAATGAATACACATACGCTCAGTATTGTAGATACATATTGCCCCCTCCCCCTTCCCTAAACTTCATTTAATTTGTCAGAAAACCTCCTCAAACTTCATTCTTTAACTTGTCAGAAAATTTTAACTGGATTGTGTTACTGTACAGTAGATGCCCCCTCCCCCTCTTGCGATCAATTTTCTGTATCCGCCCTTCAAGCTTTCTTTCATAAATTCATTAAGGTCATGAATAAAACAACAAAAATTATATCCTTATGATGAAAAATTATCAAACAATCAACTCTATAATTACAAGGAAGACGCAATGTCATCAGTCTTATCTTACATTTTCTTTAAAAAAATTTTAAAATATTTTTCATAAACTACAAATAAATAAAATACTAGTCTGTAAAATATCTAAACACATATTTTTCATTTTTTGTTTTTATTTAATATTTACTTTTCTCTGATCCTTATATCAGAACAATATTCACGTCTAACATGGCGTCACGAGTTTTTAAAAGAAAAAAAGATACTGGTTATTTACGGATATAAAACCATTATCTGTGTTTTATTCATGAGAAAACTTAAAGAATTTTTTATCGGATTTATTTATGTGACATGCAAAAATGTCGACACTTTTAAAATGCACATGTAACTTACGTCTGATACAGAGTCCAAAACACCTCCTCTTCATAAAATTAAACTAATAACAATGAAACGGTTTCGACACAAGTTACTATATAATTTACTCTAACGAAAAACAACTACATGTAAAATAAAGGCGGGGAATTTATGCATAAATTTTTCATGTATGTTTTCGTGTGATAAAGTAAGTTTGTTTGGTTTTTTTTTTCAATCAGATTACATATTTCAAATATTTATGAGAGTGATATAAAAACGTCAATTTGAACGTCATTTTTCAACGTCATTTTTCAAGGTAATTTTAACATTTTCTTAACCTTTGATTCCCTATATATCAGTAATTATTCTGAATATTTGAATCAAACGTTATATTTGGTTATTTTACACTATAATCTATCATAATCCATTGAAAAGTCAATTTTTAAAATTTTTACCTTAAGGGCCCTTTTCGCATGGGGCGGCTCATTTTATATATATCCAATGAAAAAAAGAGCACGTGATTCGAAAAGTACAGCGCGCTGTATTTCTTGAACTTTCTACCTCGTCCATTTATATTCTGAACGCCATGGATGACGGTTGTGATGTTATGCTTTCGCAATTCTTATAGACACGGAAACCGAAATTATGAAGGAAAATTCCTTAGATCAGTTAGGAAGCCAGATGCAGGTTGACGATTCTTTGGGAAGTATGACGTTTGATCCACCGGAACTAAAATTGAACCTATTATGGATTTCGATATAGGAGATATTTTAGACATGATGGCGTTAATTTCACCAGTCCCGAGGTCGACACGAAGACGAAAAATGAAAGGTTTGTACAAGTGTCCGATCATGAAATTCAGCATTTGATAGACTCTAAAAAAACCAACACTCGTAAATACATGTATACCAAATGACAATTTAAACGTTCAGGCTAATCAAGGAGTAGCGTGCGGTACGGGTAAATGTCCACTTTTGACCGAGATGAACAGCGATTCTCTAAATTACTGGATGCAGCGATTTGTGTTGGAATTAGAAAACAAGGAATATCCACCGGTACCTCGCTCCCTGTACTACATTGTGAGTGGTTTGTTACGCTTCAAGTTTATGAGAGACGAAAACGTTCATTTATAAATATGTGCGTGTGTGAATTCCATCTCGGATTTAAAAATTGACGTGCAAAATTTAGAATGTTTTATGTAGACCTAAGGAAAGGTATACCTTCACTATGTTTATATGCGTTTGTATTTTGCTTATAAAGTCAGCTACTTTGTTTATATTCTTTTTCTTTATCAATGTAAGGTCAAGGGTCATTGGAATTGTTGCATCATAACCCTGGTGTGTTCTATCTTGATAGAGCATGGTTGTAAGTCATGGTGTATCAAAAATAAAAACATAGTGGACATCAAAGGAAAAATACCGCAGCAATGATACAGATGTAGAAATGATGATTCATTACTTTTATTTCTGACTTGTGTTTTTAATCAGCTTTGAGCTATGGTATCCAATTTTTTAATGCTTTAATATCTCTTTGCACTATAATATGCTCCAATTTACAGTTATTAATGTAGTGAAGTATCTGTGCGACTGTTCCGTGGTACGACTTGCTGACGAGATTACGTCAGACGGCGGGATAGTCGCAGCGAAGCAGGAGTCGGCCCGGGCCAGAACCTACGGATCTGTGTTTGTATTTGTATATAGGCCTAGTTTAAATATATACATTGTAAAGAACCCACAAAGACTTTACTGGCGCCCAACTCGCGGGGCCCGGGAGATTCCCGTACTGCTGTCAATTTAGGAATTTTTAGGCATCGATTTTAGCCGCCATTTTTGGTCCTGCTATGTACATGAGATCACATGTTGATTTTGTAGGTATTTTTCTTGAATTAACTTTCAGAATTAATTTGTAAATATTTCTATGATTTCATCTGATTATTTGTGACATTTTATTATGGATATGTCGGTAGAGGAAGCCGTGTCGGCTTTAGGCCTGGGCACTCGTCCGGCTGACAGGCGGTCAGACAGTTTCAATCTTCGTTCTCCGTCTAGGATGGGGGTTACCCCGGGGAGGGGAGTTATTCACCATATGTTTATAGCGGGAGTGAGCATTTTGCCTCCCATCACACATCTTTTGCTCAGTCAATGTCAGGCCATGTGGGAGGGGGGTTGCCCCTTGGGACTCCTTCTACACCTATGCCCGGCCTGCACTCGGGCATCCCATTTGGGGAGGGAAAAGTGTTACATGGTGTGTCAAGAGAAAAGGTAAGGTTTGCCCAGTCCCAATTTAGTTCACCAGGGATGATGACCAGAGATTCCCTGGAGTCCTCTTTAGGTAGCCTGTGTAGGTGTGGCCATGGCTCACCTGGCAGCTCTGTGGGTTGTAGCCCACCTAAATACGAATAGAGTGAGGTTCCCTTGAATTCAGTTTAGAACATCATTATTCTTTAGGCCATGTGCGTTCAACTAGCGGCCACCCTGTCCTTGTGGGAGACACAGGTAACCTGGGGGCCCTGCTCCATGGGTAATAGATCAAGCCGCTTGGGTGAGGTTGTACCACACCCACTTGACTCCGCCCTTCAATCCCATACACCGATTGTCAGTCAACAGCCAGAGAGGCCCGTGAGGCCAGCATAGCTCGCCTCTGAGTATGATCGTCGACCTGTAAATCCTGCAGGGCTTGCACGAGAGCCTGCATCCTTTCAGACCCAGCCTAGACTTGCGGGTTTGAGTGTGCCCACTTTCCCTGGGGATGATTTGCAACCCCAGGCATCAACACCGCACACTTCTTCTGTCCCAGACCTTGTGAATATTGGGGGTGAGCGTGCCCAAGCCCCACTGCCTGACTACACCCGATCTGTGTTGTACCAGGGTGAGAATACTCCAATCACACACCATGGTATGGCTATGCCAAGTGTATTTCAGCATCATAGTGTCCCTGTGTTAGCGAGTGCAGTCCTGCCTATCTCGATACCCCGACCTGCCATTTTGGAAGGAAGGGGGAGAGGATAGCACATGTGCAGCCGAATATGTGTGGGCCTGCCCAGCTGGGACACTATGCTAGTCAGTCAGTCCCGGCCTACCAGGCTCGCAGCTTTAGTACATGTACACCTACACATAATGGCTTACCGGAGTACCAAGATACTACAAAGAACACCAGTAGGGTAGCTGTTGGTAGTAAGCCCAGTTACAAGGACCTTAGGTATGATGGGAAGACCAGCTTGAAGGCATTTTTGCGTAAGTTCGTGAGGTTGTCTCGCAGCCAATTGTGGACCGAGGAGGAGCAGCATGACCAGTTTTGTTTCTGCCTTGAGGGGGCAGCAAGTGATTAATATACCCTGCTGTTGGAAACAGGTCATCTCCGACTCGCTGATATCCTGCGGAGATTTGAGAAGCGTTTTGGCTCCTCTGATCCGGACCTCGCACATCAACTTAATTTTCAGTTGGCCAACCAGAACCTAGGAGAGTCACTTCGTCAGTGGGCCGACAGGGTGCTGACCTTGGCGACACGGGCCTTCCCCTGTGTGCCGGATGTACAGACGTCCTGATTGAGAAGGTCCAACTCAGAGCAGAGCGATTTGAATGTCTCCCACATATACCAACCATCAGTCAGGAGAGTCAAGATACATCAGAACTTGACAGCAAACCGAGCAGACTACTACCATACCTGATCCAAACAGACATCAGAACTAGAGGCTCACACACCTTCCGTATTCCATCTACCAGGAAGTGTATGTACCAGTTCTCCTTTTTCCTACGAACCATCCGGGATTGAAACAGATTGCCACCGTTGAAACATCAGTCAGTTCCACTGTGGATTCAGGTCAGCACTTGACAGCTTATCACCAGCCCAACTGTTGTATAGTAATGAAATATGGAGACAACGAACAGTATTCAAGATCAAAGCCCATTAAAATAATACAGATCGGGAGCAGAGCAAACACGGACCTCCAAAAACATCAGAGGTGGGATCAGGTGCCATGGAGGAATGAGCATCCAAGTAAGAGACCATTTGTTTTTTAGCTTTTATATCTTAACAGAATATACTAGTATTTCCTGTGAGGCACCACGCGGAGTAAAACACTCAACACCATGAGTGAACTTTCTGGAACAAGAATTTAGTGCTTTGATTATTGTATTAATTTATTGAACTTATCCTCTTTTGATGAAAATTCTTACCGATAGGAACTACAATAACATAATAGCTTTTACTGTGTAAACATCTTATTAAACAACAACATTCATAATATAATCGCAAATGACAAGTGATAGATCATTGAATTCATTAATACAAATTGACACAAAAGGTTATAAAAAGGGGGTATTATATCCGTTATTTAGAAAAGTGTCACAAAAAGGTGAGTATAAATGAAGTTCCAATTACTAGTATACGTGTGCCATCATAGGAGTTACAGGACAAGAATTAGAATGAGGTCAGAATGTAATTGATGGATAAACTGCTGTGAGAGTGATAGAATTCTAAACTCTGTACAGCGTGATGAAGTAATCTATATAAAAAAGGCTTTAAAAATTAGAATAATTGTTATCTGGGCAACTTAAAAAGTATTTTTATCTTTATTTCACCTGTTTCGTATTCAGGAGTAAAAGACTACAAAATATGCTGCTGGACTTCTATTCTTGTATTTAGTAGTCTTTTCTCCGAAGTGCTTATTCATTAGCAGGACCACATATTCATATTAATTCATGTATAGAAAATCTTTTATAAATAATGTATCTTATAAGAAACCAATTAATCTACTTACACATCGTGTACTTAAACATATGCACGCTGGCATGTAGTTTCGGAAGCATATAGTGGAAATTGAATGTAAATACAGATATGTGTTTAGTAGAGAAGTATTTATACAGAAGACTTCACAGGAAGCGATCAACCCTGCATTGATTCCAGTCCCTATAACAGCTGTACAAATTATACTGTACTTCACTATTCCCATTATCCATTGAGCAAAGCGACGCGGGTCTATACGGATCAGCGTTGTACTCCGATTGCAAAGGGAAGAAGATCGCTAATTGCCTTTTTTCGTAATTGAATGTCAAAATCATGAATATTCGAGTTCTTTATATTTTACTTTGTAAATGGAGTTTATTTGCTGTACTCAAAACACAAGGTAAAGTGGGCATGTTTTCCCGAAATATATAAATACGTACTTTTATTGTAAATAGTTCTTTTTTTAATTTATAAAACTATGTCAAACAAACTTTAACTACACTTGACAAAGGATGTCTGACAGTGTTTTATTTCATAATCTTGAATGTCTTTACTTTATATTGATATCAATCTTTTTTTTTATTTACATAAATATATTCATTGTTTCTTTTTTAAATCAACATTTTTATATCAAGATTTATTTATATTTTTTTGTATTTATGTTTTTATTAGCATTATTCTTTTTGGAAAATAGTTTAACGATGATAAAAGGTGTCAATTTTTTGTCCTGTACAAGCAAAAAGAAGACCGACACTCGCTTGAATTAAAAAAAAAATTCTCATATATTTCTTTCTTATAGCATTTTTGAATTGTGTAGTATACTTGAAATTTTATATTATCTGTTTAAGAGACAACGAACGTCTTTTTGTTTCGTTGGCAATCATTACGTATTATGATAAAACTACAAAACTTAAATGCACATATTCTTAAAGTAGATTGCAGAGTTCGTTCAAGACATCTTCAAAGTTGAAACACGTTTAAATATACATTATTGATGCTTAGGGTTACATGAAAGATTCTTTTTTATTGAATATGCATTAATGTAAAAAGCCAGTTTTCAAATTTGGATTTTTGCCTCGTATAAAAGAAACGACAAATGACCATTGGTTTTTAAAGACCTAATTTTCTATCCAAAAAACCTACTTTTTCTATTTTTGTAGGTTTATTGACCACATTACCAATTTTTATTCCTTAGAATGTAAAATATGTCCCAGTCTCTTAATTTTGTGATAGATTTATTAAACTTTAGCTACGTCAAATCAATAAAGTCTCAACATTTAAAGTAAAATGTGACACCAATGGAGACAAATTCTTCACAGTTACATAATTTGAAGATGGATTAAAATCAGAAGATCTTAATGTTGTGCTAGATCTCTGGAGCTCTGTGAGTTTGACAGGTCACGAAAGATGTCACTCTTAAAAAATACTGATTCAGATTTTTTATATTTAATAAAACAAGTATAGAAAATCAATTGAAGGAAAAAGCAATATTTACTTGTATGTAAGCATAGTAAAAGCCCAGTAAAAGCTATTGATTTGCATTTATATTAAGATGTAAAACTTAAACTGTTAATGAATATAAGATCATTAAAGTTCCATCTATCAAAAAAAAAATCTTTCGCTAAAGTGACGACAGAAATGTTTAAAAAGCATTGATAGAATGTTTATTGCGTAAACATTTTGGACAAAAGTCGAGATTTTAGGTTAATATTTTCATTGTCTACTTTCCTAATCATCTAGTTCAATTAAATTTTATGAAAAATAAACCGTATTCTGACCATATTATCCTATGACATTAAAGCCTGCCTGGGCCATTAACTCCTCCATATAGCTCCTATTTAATACACTACTAATGTTTCCCCATATGGGTCCCTGTATGCTAAATCGAACATTTCCTGGAACCAAAACGCAGTTTTCGACTTTAAAAAAACTACTGAATTAAGTAGGTGAAATTCAGCTGAGTTTGTGCGAATTGTTAGTAATATTGTGTTTAAGAGATTTTTTTCATTATTTGCTCATGCATGATTCATTCATGAAGTGTTATGTTTTTATTACCGGTATTTCACGTCATTTGCGTAATTTCCCGTTCTAAACAGATATCTAAGACTGGCAATTTTATTAATATGCATTTTGAGTAAACCTTACCACAGTGGAAAGATTTTCTATTGTACATGTAAAATATAAGGGAGCTTAAAGGTTCTTGTATGAAAGACAAGAACACTACACATAAAGATGGTCTGTCATCATTTGTTTCTGCTACCTCAGCAGTTTCATTGTCTTGCAAATTGTGAAAATTTTCAAATTTTGTCTGATACTTTTGTTTAAGAATACACCAAAAATGATAATATCGAAAAGAAAGAGATAACTTCTTAAGAGGTTTGCACACACACACACAAACACAAAAATAATTAAAAATTTTCTTCAATTCTCTAGAAGGAAAATATGGTTAATATTTACATGCAGTAATTGCACATTTTGTGATAAGGAAAGAAAAAGACTTCCAAAACACTTCTGAAATGGAATAAAATGAAACTAAAATTAAAAAAAAAATTAAAATGACAATTTTAAATAGAATAACAACCTGATATAAAAATAAAAAAAAAATTAAAATGACAATTTTAAAAAGAATAACAACCTGATATAAAGATGACTTTGAAAAAAAGTCTGCAGAATTAATGTGAAATTCTGTTTCAATAAAAGGTATCCCTTCTCTTCCTGAATTGGAAGCCACTTGCTGAAAACGTGTAATGAGCATGCATAGGAGCCATTTATCCGGTTGCTTCATCTTCTGGACGAAATTTATGGGAAAACAATTTATGTATAAAGATACCAAGAATGTTTCATTTATCCGGAGACTTCGTTCATTAATTGTTTAACTCGACTCTACCGTACTATAATTATAATTTTCTATCAAAGAATAAGGCTTCTTTGCATGAGGTACACATTGTAAGTTGAGGGTGAATTAAATTGAAATAGTTCAAATGCTATCAATATTCCAACTGTCGCTTGAAAAAAATGACATGTGGTTCATTAGTTAATATTGTTAATCAATTCACAGACCTGTTGAATAATAAGTGAAAAGAAAAGATCCTTCTATGTGATTTTTTTTCTATCAATCTTGTTTATTTTCTATATATCTTTAAACAACATGCTGCAAGTCAATATTTTCATTAAATACAGTGCTTTAAACACGTGAATTATCCAAATACCATGGCATGGTATACATATTATACAAGAATGAATCGACCTGAATAGATGTTATACATGTAAAGACCGTCAATAATGCAACAGCTGTTAATGTTAATAACAATTCAAATGTTTCAATAAAAGAAATATTGATTTAACTTTATACTTTTGGTTTTTTCGTCAAGATGAGGTCATCGGATTTGATATTTATCAGCATGTGAAATATGCAGTTTGATGTCTATTTAATTAAATTTCAATCGAACCGCCTCGTTTCCTGTCACCCCTGAAGATTATAACACGTATAATTATTGCGTAGATCAGAAAGCAAAGATTGCAAGAAATGTAGTTAAATATACTTTCTGAAATACATGTAGTAGAAGAGAAAGCAACTGAAATGCAATATATTAGGTCATTTAGGAGAAGTACAAAATCAATTCTTATGATCAAAATAATTATTGGATACTGTAGCTCCAAATTTGTATCGTTTCATTTGACTTTCGAGATTGAATACTGTTTGTTATCTTCATATTTCATTGTAAATCAAAGAAGTTCTTTATTTGCTCTGTTACAATATCTCTAGTGACCCACAGAAACGGTTGGTTCTAGACTTGATTCTTCTTTGAGGTGCGACCTTAATCCCCTCCGTGTACACTCTGGAACTTGGGATTCTACGGTCATTGCACTACAGTGCTTTACAATCTTGATCTGTCTGTCTAAAGTCACTTGTGTATTTTGGAAGGTGCCTATCTGTTTCACATAACTGTGTTTGTAGCAATTGTCTTAATTTCATCTTGTTCTTTTAAATGTTAGACACATGCTTACATGTACTATTCCTGTTAATTTGTTTCTTCAGAAGTCTACCGGTGCCATTTCTTCCCGTAAAATTTTAATTCTATGGTGGGTAGCCTCTATTTGATTTTTGAAACACAGTTCCTTTTTTTAAAACTTGTATTCCCCAATCTTTGAAAAATAAGGCTTTGCAAGGTCCAACTGCATATTATCTATGCTTGGCAGCCTCTTTTTAATTCTTAAACAAAGTTCTTTTTTTTAAAACTAGGATTCCTTAATCTTGAGAAGTAAAGCTTTGCAAGGTTCATATGGGTTTCGGTCTTTCTTGTCGCGTTGAATATTTTTTTGAACTTCTTTTTGATTCCGTTTGGATTGAACTGTCTGTTTTCTCTTTAACTTTGTCAAATCGTCACTTCTTTGACCCGCACTTCTGTGAAATATCCATTCAAACATTGACCCTCGGAACATCGGACATTAAACACAGTCATTAATATGTCAAAGTCCCTATCGCGTTCAAATCGAATTTTTATATGAACAAGGACTTTTTTAAAGGATGGTGTATCCCACGTGGATCCAAAAGAGTGCTTGTAAAATCCATTTATTGGAGGAATTAGCTTAAAAGTACTTTTCCAAGTTCGCGTATCAAGCAAACAAATAAACGAGAGACGGAAATCTTCAGGGTACCTTTCACATGGTGATAAACTCACCACGGGAGAATATATACTCTGGAGAGCTTAATGACAAAATTTGATGGATGAAATTGCTCTCAATATTATATTAAACAGTGGAATACCACTAAATAAATCAAGTCACAACTTTAAATAAGGGTATTACGTTATACTTGTGAGGTACTCACAATGCATTTAATTAATGAGATGGTACAAGAAAAGTTGCAATTTTGTTGATAATCTTTGTTTATTATAACAAGCATTCTGAGAGTATTGCATTAGCAATACTAGTCCCCTACCGGCACGTGAAATCTGGTTCCCGTTATGAATTGAAAATGTCGTAATTCCGTCAAAAAACAATGAAGCGGAACGAAATGCAAACTTGATCTATAACTAATCAAGGTAAAGTCACGTACCAAAAATCAGCTCAATATCTGAAAGAGTTGAGAAGAAAATTGCGGAAAACCCTTAAAAATTGAAAAGGCCATAATTCCGTCAAAAATCAATGAAGCGAAACGAAATGCAAACTTGATCTGTAACGCATTAAGATACACTCACATGCCAAAAATCAGCTCAATATCTGCAAGCGTTTAGGAAAAAAGTGCGGAAAACCAAGTGGGACAGACTGACAGACAGAGGGACAGACGGACAGGCAGACAGACAGACGGACTGACGGACAGACTCAGAGAAAACCTATAGTCTCCTCCGGTTTCACCGGTAGGGGACTAATAAAAAATGATTTTTTTTAATGATGCCTTTAAAATCATTTTTATAACTTTTCTGAAAAGCTTTTCAACAATTGACTTGTTTCTCATCGTTCATCATAAAGTTCTTGCTACTTTCATCGCATTTTTAGCATTTTCTTGAAAGATTTACGGTTTGACAAATTGTTCCATGGCAATTGACTGATCTCTACTAAGCTCTTACTACCAAAACATATTAAAGCAATAATATGCCTCTTTATATATCAAACCCTGAAATAGATGACCAATCGATATCAATCTCTTGTATGGCAATTATTTCAATGTTTAAAGAGTGCCAAGGAGAATAAAATAATTCATAATCGGATAAACAGAGTATCAAGAAATAGAATTGAAAACAGCATAACTTCTAAAATGGTTTTGTGTTTTTTTTTTTTTCTTGACAAGAAGTTATTTTGCGTGTTAGAAAGGCAATTCAAGTAAATTTAATCGATTATAATCGAGAACAATGGTTATTAAAAGATGTCATTATTACGTAATCGTCCTTAACGACCCCTATCTGAATAAAGCCCATCACTCTCGACTTAATGCTCTGTAAATATTGATGCAATTAATCCCAGTATTTAAATATTTTTATACAATTGTACTTCACCGTTTTCTTTAACGGTATTTGCATCATGTGTGTTCTTCGTTCTATAGAATATTTACATAGTCCATCAGTGTAAAAAGGACTTCGGTTTCAAGACTTCATAGTATAACTCTTCACTCAGTTGTCAAATACCAAAGTGTCATGATACAAAGATTAAGGACATGATTTTTTTTTACACTTAAGTATCTCATTGGTCAGTGCTATTTTTTGTATGCCATCAACAGTGTGTTTAACCTTTTGCATGGCAGTGTTAGTGCTACTGGAATAAGATTTCGGAGAGGTACATGTATTATATCAGAGATGAGTTAGATTTTCCTTGGAATTAGTTCTTTGGTGCTACTTTTCAAACTTACTTGTTCCAAAATATATGATAAAGAATTTAATTGGTAGAATTTTGAGACTTTGACAGAATGTACTAATTAAAGTCCAATAATTTGCTGACAATATGTTAAATATAGTTTCCAAAAGATTATAAGTCCGATCGATAACAGATTAGCGATCCAATCTCTGAAAATCCCGATAAAACTCTGAATATCGACTGAATGTAAGTGGGGGAAATGTTTGACTTATTAGGCTTGTGTCGGTCATGAAAAAGGTTAAAATTTAAACTCTTGAATTTTTATTGTCACATACAGACATGGTTATTGAAACCTTATTGTCACAAGCTCTGCAATTCCTCTACTGTCGAAAATTGAATTACATCTCGTATTTCTTCAATATTGTCTGAGTCCTCCCAATATGATGCATTTAATTTCAAAATTATGAATTGTGTTATATCTTCAGATATATTATTCTAGATTTTACCTCCAACCACAGCTTTCAAAACATGACTATTCTTCTTATTGTTTGTTTGTTTGTTTGTTGTTTAACGTCCCTCTCGAGAATTTTTCACTCATAGGGAGACGCTTTCTTCTTATTGAGATATTCATGAAGTCTTGGTTATTTAGACGTTTTCAACTCAAAATGTAATTCTTATTCTCAGTAACATTTTCTTAAAGCCTTAATTGGCCATTTAAACATTTTAACTCCATGAGATCAAAGATCTGCAGCATACTTTTGGTTTCTATGTTTTACCTTTTTTTCTGATTTTATCTTGGTTGGCAACTTAAACTATGCACATAACTTTCAATGAAACAGCATAGAAATTTCCTTTGTTAGATGGAAGCTTAAAACAACAAAATACATCTATATCATGCCATTAATTCGTCTTTTAGATTAGATCAAGGTCATATCATAGATTGGGAGGGGAGTGTAGAATTCTTCTCTGATCCATAACATTTATTGGACTATGAAATATGGAGATAACGAACAGTATTCAAGCCCAAAGTCCATTCAGACAATTCAAAGCTGGAGTAGAGCAAACACGGACCTCCAAAAACATCAGAGGTGGGATCAGGTGCCATGGAGGAGTGAGCATCCCCTGCCGACTATAAACTTTATAAGATCTTACTAAGTATACATCCCAGGGTATGTCATAGCACTGATCTAAAGTCAGTGGATAAGGGTTACAAGGATTCGTATTAAAATTTTTAAATTTTACCAATAATCAGTTCCGATACTTTAAACTTGATGCTTACAATGCTCAATGACTTATAAAACGATTTTAAGAGGGAAATGCACTTTCTTTTAAATTTTGAGATAGTTGTTAGACTTACTAAGTTTGGTATATCTATCTCAAAAATCATATATCGGGACATTTTTCATTTCTATCCTAGTTGTTCTGGGAATTATCACTATTTTATTATTTTTTATTCTAAGAAAGACATCGAGATTCTCCATTTACACAAACTGGTGATCCGTTAAATAAAAACATTAATACGTTTATATTTAGGTAGAACTGATCCAGTGGATCTTGAAAATTTAATAAGCTTACTTTTCAAGGTTCACAGACAACAACAAATGATAAAAATCCAAAGAGTATTTCACTGGGTACTAAAATTAAAGTCAATGTAATTGCTCTTATTGTCAATGTCATTGTCAATGCAATTTTTTGGATATTTTACTAACAATGTTCATGCATGGAATGTTTTTACGTTTTCTCTCTGCCGCCTTAAAATAAGCTACGTTTGTGAATCTGATCAAGCTTATACATTATGCTTTAGAGAGCAAACATCTATAGGCGTTTGGTGTCAGGATGATGTATTTTGTGTATTGTGTGTTTTTCTATATCTGTTTAAATACACTCATTAAAGAAAAAATCAAGCAAAAAAAAAAATCGCTGAAATTAGCATTTTGTAAAAGCTATCATATTACTGTATATAAAAAGACATACAGAAATATATCTTTTAAAAATGCTAATATCAGCGATTTTTGATATTTTTTGAATGAGTGTATTTAGACAGACATAGAAAAACTCAAAATACACCATCCTGAATCAAAACGCCTCTGGGATCAACATGTATAATTGAATTTTGATCCATTTATTTCTAAATATGATGAATATCAATTTGTCTGTCAGTACTTTCTAGACGCAAAATTGTTATTGTTTCAAATATTTTTGTAGGTATTAGACGTGAGGAAACAAATGAGCAGAGATTAGTCAGAGACCTGTTGCTAGGATACGACAGGAGAGTCAGACCAGTAATGCCTGATAATACGTCACTTCCGTTAAACGTGACATTTGGATTAGCCCTTTCACAAGTGATTGATGTGGTAAGTATGAATTAGTCCAGTCATTCGTTTTAAGTAAAGGACATTAGTTGCAAAAAGATCTTAATTTCTTTGTGTTTTACTCTACAGAACAAAAGGTTCTAAAATACTTAACACATATCACTGAATACACTATCCATCTGACACAAAGTGTCACAGGTCACTTATATGTCTTGCAGAACCCTGCTAAAAATTATCAAGGGATCATGCTAATACCTATAATCATGTTGTCTAGCTGTTTCAATCGATCTTTAACGACGTAGCATCCGTAAGAGCTTCAAGTATCCTTGGGCAAAAAATAAATAATAAAAATCTGTTTTGAAAAACATCTCTTTAACTGATTACATTTTTAAGCATCCTTATTCAAGATAATCTGAGGAAAAATTTAATGAGTTTTGTACATTCTGGACCAACCTTCATTGTATATAAATCAGGAAAACATTTTAAAAGAATCCAGAAAAAATTTCAATGTATGTCTCGGTATAAATTTCTCTAACAAATAGCACATCCATGAAATTCATTTTAAAGCTCTTTAGACAGTATAATGCAATATGCTAGTTTCTACCCTTATTCTGCAAAACTCTGTAAATGTATAAATGTTTTCCAGTGATATTTGTTGATCAAGAAAAAAAAACATGTAGTATATAAATTCTGTTTAGTTTGCAACTGTGTTTTTGCCACTATAAGGGCATGGCTGTCTATTGTTAATTTCTTGGAATAAAGAAAACTTCTAGAAAGATCTACAAACGTATTCCTCAATGATCACATCAGTCAAACAACTGTCCAAGATTCTGTGCTTCGCAACCACTTCACCAAATTAAATTTCAATCCTTCATCGTAATAGCAACCATTACTCGACGCTAATAAATACACGATATTTCATCACATACGTGTTTTAGAATTAGGTGCTGCAAAACTAGTTTATAATGACATCAAGGCGCTTCTTTCCCATTTACAAGTCATAAAATTGTGACGCTATTAGCATACGCAATTCCACGATGCTTCAAAATTTGTTTTAAATGGATAGTATTGCAGTTCATCGATTCACACATTGCCTTCGAAACGAACTTCATTCATACGATTCGATACACAAACAACTGCAGTGTGAGTTCAAGGGAAATCATATCTGAGTTTCAAACGACAATATGAGACCAGGAAGTCCAATGTTTTGTCAATTAATTAAATTGTAAACATATATTGATTACAGTTTTGTTCTACTCAGTAAAACTATTAAACATGGTTGAATTGGAATTCATCATTTTTTTTTCAGTATTACTTTTTTCATCTAAAGTTTTCAGTGAATAAATAGTTTGATCTTATCTTTAAAATTTCTTACTTTGCAAATTAATTCCATCAAACCCAGAGAATGTCCGGCATTGTATTCACAGAAAACTACGATGATTAACACTAGCAACATACCTTCGTAGAATACCATAGATCAAATCTTTGATTCATTTCAATACACTATGCGGAATAATATAATTATTCTTTAGATAGATGATAAGTTGTATCGAGAACAAACAATGGCTTTCATATATGAATATTTTACATTTCCAAAATTTTTTTTCCTTAAGATTCTTTGCAAATTAGAAAAAGTTCATGTTCTCATGAACTACCGTGGGAAGAGTAAGAACATTTCCATTGTGATGTGATTGAAGTCAAAAAATAGTGCAAACTTTTTTTCTTAAAAAATGATCGTTGAATGACAAAAATATGTGGCAAGTCATCAGAAAAATAATGTAAATATAAGATATGAATTTAATTCTTGAGAATTCATGAGGTACATGAACTACAACGCTTCACGCCTGCATATTTATCATGAAGCGCTTACGCGCTTCATGAAATATGCAGGCGTAAACTGTCGTAGTTCATGTTTTCATGAATTCTCCAAAATTGAAATTCATCTCTTAAATAAGCTTGCAGTATAATCGTTGTTTATAAATGATATACTAGAAACTTGCTGTTACCAAATTAATCTAATTATTATATATCAATTGCAATCAAATAACCATATTTACATAAAATTAGCGTAAATGTAATTTATACACAATTTTTAGGTCACCTGAGTCACTCAGGTGACCTATTGCTATCCGTTCTCGTCCGTCGGCGTGCGTCGTGCGTTAACATTTGAACATTTTTAGCTTCTTCTCTGAAACCGCTTAACCAATTTCAACCAAATTTGGCATATCTATGGGTGAAGGGGAACAAAAATTGTGAATTTCATGGTCCCTGCCCCCCTGGGGCCTGAGGGGTGGGGCTAAAACCACCAAAAATAATGCAATCTTTAAAAATCTTCTTCTTTACTCCTGGACATCAAGCAGTCAAACTGTTGGCATCATTGTAATAAGCATTGAGCCCTCTACCAAAATTGTGAAATTCATGGCCCCAGGGTCAGGGGTTCTGGCCCCAGGGTGGGGCTATATAGATCATATAGTGAAAGTGCATTATTTCTTTGAAAATCTTCTTCTCTGCTCCTGGGTATTAGATAAGGTAACTAATACATAGTTATGATGAGCAAGAGTGCCTCTTCCAAAATTGTGAAATTCATGGCCCCAGGGTCAGGGGTTCTGGTGTTAGGGCGGGGTTCTATTGATTATATAGTGAAAATGCATTGATTCTTTGAAAATCTTCTTCTCTGCTCCTGGGTATTAAATAAAGTAACTAAGTACATAGTTATGATGAGCAAAAGTGCCTCTTTCAAAATTGTGAAATTCATGGCCCCAGGGTGGGGCTATATAGATCATATAGTGAAAGTGCATTATTTCTTTTAAAATCTTCTTCTCTGCTCCTGGGTATTAAATAAGGTAACTAAGTACATAGTTATGATGAGCAAGAGTGCCTCTTCCAAAATTGTGAATGTCATGGCCCCAGGGTCAGGGGTTCTGGTGTTAGGGTGGGGCTCTATCAACTATCTAGTGAAAATGCATTAATTCTTTGTAAATCTTCTCTGTTCCTGGGTATTAAATTACGTAACTAAGTACATAGTTATGATGAACAAGAGAGCCTCTTCCCACATTGTGAATTTCATGGCCCCAGGGTCAGGGGTTCTGGTGTTAGGGCGGGGCTCTATCGACTATATAGTGAAAATGCATTAATTCTTTGAAAATCTTCTCCTCTGCTCCTGGGCATTAAGGTGATAAACTAAGTACATAGTTATGATGAGGAGGTGGGTCCCTTCCAGAATTGTGAAAGCCATGGCCCCTGGGTCAGGGGTTCTGGTGTTAGGGCAGGGCTCTATTGATTATATAGTGAAAATGCATTAATTCTTTGAAAATCTTCTTCTCTGCTCCTGGGTATTATTTAAACAAAGTGCATGGTTATGATGCATAAGGATGCCTTTTCAAAAATTGTGAATTTCATGGCCCCAGGGTCAGGGGTTCTGGTGTTAGGGTGGGGCTCTATTGATTATATAGTGAAAATGCATTGATTCTTTGAAAATCTTCTTCTCTGCTACTGGAGATTATTTAAACAAACTAAGTGCATGGTTATGATGCATAAGGATGCCTTTTTAAAAATTGTGAATTTCATGGCCCCAGGGTCAGGGGTTCCAGTGTTAGGGCGGGGCTCTATTGATTATATAGTGAAAATGCATTGATTCTATGAAAATCTTCTTTGCTACTGGAGATTATTTAAACAAACTAAGTGCATGATTATGATAGACAAGGATGCCTCTTCCAAAATTTTTAAATACATTGCCTCAGTTTTTGGGGTTCTTGAGGAGGGGGGGGGGAGGGGGCTCTATTGATTATATAGTGAAAATGCATTAATTCTATTAATTAATCATTAACTAATCCTGTCTGCTCCTTAGTGTTGAGCTAATAAATTAATTGCTTAGCTATGATGAAGATGGGAGCTTCGAACAGAATTTTTAAATCTTGTGGTCTTAGGGTCAGGGGCTCTGGCATAACGAGGAAGGGGGGGGGGGGGAGGGCTTTTGATAATATAGTGGAAAAGTGTTAATTCTTTGAAGTCCATAGTTATTATGATGAGGGTAACTCTTCCAAATTTGTAAATTTCTTGACCTTTGGTCTTGGGTTCTGGTGTTAGGGTAAGGCTTTGTTGAATCTGTAGTGAAAATGCATTGTACCTGTGAAATTCTTCTCTGCTTCTGGGCACATTGAAAGCAAACTGAGTAAAAGTTTAAATGATATAAGTAAGCGTATTTCTACCAGATTTTTGAACATCTGGACAATTTGTCTTAGCATTCTGGTCCTAGACAGGGCTCTATTAATTTGTATTCTACTGAGAGAAGTTATTCCCCTTTTCCATTCACCTTTGATAATTAATCACTGTAAATAATGTATTTGAAAGATTAATAGAATAAGATAATTATGCAAGAATGTTTATCGTATAATTCAAAAAGTACTTTCTTAGTTTTAATAATCAGGCAGACCTGTAAGTAATAGATAAATAAAAATGAGACAAAAATAACTTATCTTATTAAAAGTTCTTCAAAGACCATAAGAGAGGTCAATGCTAGAGGTCTTAATGTGGGTTTAAAAATAGTACAGAAGCACTAATAGTTTGTTAATTAGTCTGCATGGTGATAATATTAAGTGGGGGACAGATTAGAACTTAAGTTATGAGTTGATACTGAATACTAGACTAATTATTTTGTTGATCCTGATCTTCCTACTTCTCTTGCTTCAGGGCAACAAAGCTTCATCTGTCAGTGTATTTAACTTCTAAATTGTTGTATTATACTCAGGTGACCGTTAAGGACCTTGGGCCTCTTGTTGATGTAAAACATCCTTAATCGTTTATGCAACTATATCTCAACACAAAATACACAGTTATATCATTTAATTTGCATGACGTTAGAGTATGCATGATTAATAAAGGTAGATTCTACACATTGTTTTTTTTTTCTTTCCCAAGACTAGTGTAATTTAATTATCTGGATCTATGACAATTAACAAATACACAAAAATAATTCCTAGTCTCTCTGGTTCTTAATGGAGTAAATACAGGAAGCAATGCACTTTTGTCTGGTATTTGCAATAAGCCACAAAGTATGCAGAGGTCATAATTTTAAAGGTATCATTTCTCGCACGTCAAATTATCTCTTGCAAAAGTTCATTAGCCCTTTCATAGAGTTGCTTGCAACTCATTTAGTATGTACTTGCTATTTTAAGAAAGTGAAATATGACATAAATATCATTGTTTCTTTGTCAAAGACACATCGCAAACATTTATTTTTCAATGAAGCAAATGAATTACTGAACATCTAGAAAAACTGTAAAATTTATCACATCTGATTCCCTTCCATGCTTGCTGCAAATGAAGCAAATTTCGCGCAAATGACCCAACGATTCTTGTGTTTACTATTCAGGTTTCTTTTTTCGTATACTTAATAAAAAGTATGAGGTACCGTATACTAGAAAGATTTATTTATACACTAGTTTGTGAAGCATATAGATTATGTTGTAAAGAAGTTTTTGTTTTATTTTGTTTTTTTTTTAAATATTCATTTTTTTTTTACGTGTGAAAGATTTTTCATTTCAAAGACCAAAGTAGTTTTTTTAGTGGCAATACCAGAAAAAATAATTCGTTGATATGATTTGATTTGAACATATTTTATTATGTAGAAACATAAATGGATTTTGGGCAGCAGGCATAGCCTATATAAGCCCTCTCCACAAGTACAAGGTTCATTTAAATTACACATAATGCTAGTCGCCCGCGTGGCGCAGTGGTTAGAGCGTCTGCTCTAGAGTCGCGAAGTAAGGAGTTGATCCTTACGTCGCGGGTTCGAATCCCACTGTGGGACGTGGAGACCGGTCCTTCGGATGAGACCGTATAAACCGAGGTCCCGTGTCGCAGTAGGTGCTGGCACGAAAAAGATCCCTCACTGCTCAATGGCCGTAAGTGCCGAGTATAGGACAAAATTTGCAGCTCTCCATCGGGAAGTGGTGGCGTCTCCATATGAGTGAAAAATTCTCGAGAGGGACGTTAAACAACATACAAACAAACAAACAAAACACATAATGCTACATGAAATAGTTACAGGTTCATGTAACAAAATTCACACTTGAAGACTTAGAGAGTCTAACAAAACAGGTCTCACTTTTTCAGAGCTTTGATACTGACATGACTGATTAATAAAGAGTGTAATTCCTGAAAACGTTCAAAGGAAGTTCAATATCTTTTATCTAATATCTCCTTTAACTTAATTTGATGATCGTTATTCTTTGTCCATTTGTATACCAAGAACAAGGCTTTATTGTTGCTGAATTGAAATAATGAACGGGACTCCTACGCAGATTTATTGTATTTCACCAGCTACCGAGATACCATCTGACTCCTAGTGCAAATAGGAATCGTAGATTTTTTCCTTGCTAACTCATCATTTACAATAACGTTTCCTATTTGCATTCTAAAGAGAAATAAAACTTAATCAAAAGAATTCCTCAAATGTGATTACTAAAGATGAAATTGAAAAAAATAGGCTACTGTGTCAGTGCATATGAAAAGACAAATGTTGATTCGTAAACAACATTATTAGGGTATTCGTAACCCTGGTACACGAAATGGAGAACTAATTGTATAGATATATGTCCTGTCTCCAGTTCTTATATTAAGGGAAAATAACATTAAATGTAAATTTTCCGTCCTTATAATAAGGGCAAATATCATAAACTGATTTTTCAGTCCTCATTTAAAGGGCAAATAACAATAGCTGTAAATTTTCAGTCCTTATTATAAGTTCAGATAACAATAACTGTAAATTCTTTTTCTGAACAAGGAAGTACTTTTTTACGCATCTCCATATCGCTTTGAAAAACAGGTTTCATTATTGGGAAATATAACATAAGTGGAATAATCAATATTTGTTGAATTTCTGATGAATTATGACCGCAGGATTTCTCTCTAGTGTAAAATTAATGGATTTAATCCAATACGTTACACAAATGCAAAATCTACTTAACCAGTTACATGACATGTATTATAAAATCAAGTGGCGACGTCATAGTTAAGTTTCTAATTCTGTCCTACCTTCCAAATTAATTCAATTTTGCCTCCATAATAAAATAATAAATTAGCCCAGTCATTGGACATAAATATTGATGACATCTTTGGGAAAATATTATATAATATGTTAGCTATTTCAGGGAAGAGAATTGTTCAGTGTTTCTAATTTTAAAATGCCGTACACTGTCTATTAAGCGTTGTTTCTTTTATTCATAGAAACCAAAATTTATTTTAAATTCAAATGATGAATCATTAAATAAATTGCAATATGATAATGAAATTGTATTAAAGACATTTTTAAGATCATTTTTAGGATATTTTGTACACAAAGGTTAAGTGGGGTGGGAGTTTGAATATTTAATTTGTATCAAATGTTGTTTATAGTATTGTAAATCACATGCCACTAGAGTTAACTATTTACTTTCTGATACTTAAAATGCAGAGGTCGAAGAAACATATTTTCTGATTTTTTCAGGATGAGAAGAACCAAATCCTGACGACAAACTGTTGGTTAAATCAGGTAGGTTGATATATTTTATTACATTTTCAACAGTGAAATACTGTGATTTATTTATTGAATAAGTGATATTCTGTCACAGTGTGAAAGGATACCAAAGTGATATTCTGTCACAGTGTGAAAGGATATCAAAGTAAGTAAAAAAAATTCTGGCAGTCATAAGATATATAGAGATAATAACTAAACCACCTTGATAGAGAGTTAAACTGTCCATTTCTTCCCAAATATGTTGCTAAAATCCATGTTACGATGTTTTCAATCTCACAATAAGCTATGACGTCACAGCCTATAACACTGTGTTAAGAAAAGACAGAGGTAAAGGGAAAGTCAAAGAAAATGTAATAAACAGAAAATTCAATTTTTGTAGTTGGATATGGAATTTATTTCACTCGTGAGACAGGATTTTTTTATATTTTAACTCGTGCTTCGCACTCGTGAAAATATCAAAAAATCCTGTCCCACTCATGAAAAAAAATTCCATATCCAACTACAAAACATTGAATATCTTCTGTAAATCGCACAGGATATCGATATAGCCATAGATAATCAATTCCTATTATATATTTAAAGTGCTTTGTCTAAAGTGTTAAGTTATAAAGCGCAATATAAAATAACAAAAAGCAAGAACCCTAGATAACACAAACCATAAATAATGATTTTACCTCCTTTGCTGATCCCTCTAGGCAGTACAGTCTGACAATATATTAGATAAAACAAACTGATGCTTACCAAGTGTTTTCAGGTTAACACTTGATTTAACATTGAAGGAAACAAAGATAACCCATAAACCCTTTCATATCGCCACTTCTTTAGTGCTCAGAAACTTGGGCTTATAACTCCATTAATCATATTATTTTAAATGCTTTAGACTATTACAAATTTAGAGAAATTACTAGAGAAAATACTCTAAATTATATCAGTGCATAATTCAAAGAAAATAAAAGGGATAAACTTTCAAAGAAATTTTGAAATATAAATGTATTTAAAAAGGGGAAATGCTGAAACTCATAGGAACACCCTACTTTGTTTGACATTTATTTATTAGTACTTGATGTATGTAAACTCAATATATTTTAATAGATGTGGACAGACTACGGCTTGCGTTGGAATCCGAAGGACTATGGTGGTATTAAAGTTGTTCGTCTTCCCTATGACTCAATTTGGAGACCGGACATATTTCTATACAATAAGTAAGTGAAGTCTGAGGAGGTGATAGTAATATGTAAAAAGCTGTTCTTAAAGTTAATTGAAAGTCTTAATCATGATATCATTATAATGCACGATGCTATACAAATTACGTTAAAAGTTTTTATTATAAAACAAGATATATATTAAATGAAATTAAAATATGTTTGGCAATAATGGATTGCTGCAAGGCAATGTTACTCTGCACACCATGTAATTGGAATCATAACTTTTTTTTCAGTGCTGATGTATCGACATACTTTTCGTCTATTAGTTCAAACGTCATCTTGACGTCACAAGGCAATGTAACTTGGCTCTCCATGGTGATATTTAAAAGTTCATGCTCCATAAATGTGCGCTACTTTCCATTTGATGAGCAGAATTGTTCTATGACTTTCGCCTCCTGGACATACGATGGGTACCAGGTTAATCTGGTTCTCAACACTCACGAGGGAGACATTTCAAATTACAAATCTAACAGTGAATGGCATCTTCACAAACTTTATGTCCAGAGAAACGTTGTTTTCTACTCCTGTTGTGCTGAGCCGTATCCTGACATCACATTCTATATCCATATCCAACGAAGACCTCTGTTTTATATCTTCAACATGGTGATGCCGTGCGTTATGATTACACTGGTTGCCCTTCTTGGCTTCTATATACCATCTGATTCAGGTATGTTATAACCTTCTTCTCTACCACACATCATCTGATTCAGGTATGTTATATCCTTCTTCTCTACCACATACCATCTGATCCAGGTATGTCATACCCTTCTTCTCTACCACATACCATCTGATTCCGGTATGTTATACTCCACTTTTACAATCCATCTGATTAAGGCATGTCATACTCCATTTCTACATATTACCACATACCATCTGATTTAGGTATGGTATACTCTTCTTCTCTTCTACATACCATCAGATCCAGGTATGTCATACTCTTTTTCTACAATCCATCTGATTAAGGCATGTTATACTCCACTTCTACCTATTACCACGTACCATCTGATTTAGGTATGTTATACTCTTTTCAAATTCTAGGTACATCTGATTCATGCATCTATGTTATACTCTTTTTCACTTCTACATAATCTGATTCAAGTATATCATGTTATTTTTTACTTCCACATAATCTGACTAGGATATGTCATACTCTTTTTCACTCCTACAAACATCTGATTCAGGTATATCATAATCTTTTTATATAATCTCTGTATCCTTTTGCAGAAATAACTAAATTTTGAGACAAATTTTATTTCTTTATTTTGGAACATAGATAATAGATACATAATGTGGGTAGTAGAAAATGATGACATATTTTTTGCCGTCTTCATACATGTAAATTGTTGAAAAACTTATGCACGTAGAAAAGGATTTTCCCTGTGATGGCATAATTTAAATTTGTACTTAGAATTAGATATCCTTAAATAAGTCTTTTAAATACATTTGTCTTTCATTGGAAATAGAAATATATACTAGAGTACCAATCATCAATAAGGATATTAAGAGAAAAAGACAGAGTAGCCATTAAAATAAAACTCAAATTATCTTCTGATTCTCATTTAAACTGAACGTTTCACTTTGAAACAAATACAATGAAAAAATGATATATACTGTAAATACATTTTAGAATTTTACAGAAGCAGTGCCGAAAATGTTTTTTTCATTTTTTGAGGCACTTCCAGTTACGTCAAGGATCCGTAAAACATCATTAGTTGATATATCAACCAGAATTAGAACTTAACTATTGTGTAAGATATGGTATCTAAATGGTGTGGATAAAGAATGGTTATAAATGAACTTCTAATACACTGTAAAGGAAAATAAATTGTCTTAAAGTGGCGTTACTGATCTAAGATTGGCAGATATGGTCAAAAGATGAACCCTTTACTATGCCAAGAATAATTTTGTAGAAACATGAAACATCTACTGTAAATTTTATTCTTCTGCGTGTCAATATAAATGTAGATCATGTGTAAATGAATTGAATATATATTTTTATCTGTATTATTAAGCATTACTCAGATCAAACTTACATTCTTTTTCATCAGTAAGTGTTTGGTGTAGCTGTTACGAGTCAAAATCAAAGTACTGAATTGCACAACAGTATTTTTCTTTTATTAAAGGGGTCATCTTCTTATTCCTTCTGTGTTTGCTTTACCTTCCTTCTGTGAATGCATGTGTCATCCCATTATATCGTCCATAGAGAAACAATTTTATTGTAGGATTTCTCTTGAAGGAGCATGAACACAGATTTGGGGTTTATAATCTTCCAAATTTTCGGCAGAATTTCATGACTTTTATGTTGCAAGAGCATTTCAGATCAATGTTTATAACTTTATTTATAAAAACTACGAATTTCGAGCGTGTTTATCATACATCCTTCCACTTTCAGGAACTAAAATTAAATCATGATATTCAAGGAAAGTGTGAAATGTGAGGTGTATTAATAACAGATGTGAAAATTATAATCAAGAACATTCAAAAACGAAATGAAGGAACTTCAAGGCAAAACCAAACACACCAGTGTTGTCAGTTTGTGATCAGTGATGTGAACAATGTCAGCAAATCGAACACACCCGGTAAAACGTAATTATTAACAACAACGGAACACATGCCAATGTTTTCAAACACAGGTGTTTGGTGTAAAGTTATGAAAAATGCCCCGGTCATTGAGTATTAAGAATTTTCATGTAATTTCATGTAAATTTTCATGTCATGTCAAGTCATTAAACTGAAGATAGTTTTCAAAGAATAATTGAAATTCAAAAATGTAAACAAAAAAGCAATGCAAGTATGTCCATGCCCCTTTAATCTTAAAGGACGACAATATATCATTTCAGAGTAACAAATTGAATTTTGGGGTGGAAGAAGATAGCGAGAATTGGTAAATAATATTTCTATATCAGACAGCATTCCTTGCCAGATTTCTTCTAAATATCTAAAGAAGCTTTGTGATACAGAGATGAAAATTTAGTTCGAGGGCGAATAATTTTTTTAATAAGACTTCTTGCTTTTGGGAACAAAAAAAGCATGAAATACATGCTTATCTTTTTTTTTTTTTTTTTTTTTTTTTTTTTTTTTTTTTTTTTTTGTCATTTCCTATAATTTGTAAGGAGGCTTTGTGAATTAAAAATTCTGAAATAAAACGTTTGATTTAGCAGAAAGGAGTCCAAATAGGAGGGAAGTATATCAAAGTGAATTGCATTAATTCATATTTATAGAGGAATTTCCAATTTATGAAGTTTAATATTTTTTTTAATGTTTATGCGATTTTTTAAGATTTATCTGTAGATATATGGGATGGTTTTAGAGAGTGAATGTGTTTTGCATTCTCCAGAAATAAAAATAATGAAAAGAATCAGATATCCTAAGCAATTTGTTTGCTGAAAGAAAATATATATATATATTATCGTTTTCATTAAGGAATACAACTACATAATATGAGGTACATGTACTAGTACGTATATGATAAAAATACGTTAGAAAAAAATCTTATTTTTAGACTTAACTCCATTATAATTATGTATTCAAGATGTAATAGATCTAGTACAAGAAAAAGTGAATTTCATCGACTGTGGTGAATTCATTTGAACTTTATATATTGACACTTCTTGTTCTTTTGTATCCTGTTTTTAATGAAGTAGCCTCATCTCCGTTGGAATATATTAATAGCCGGAACTTGAATATTGGTTTTTTAATGCATTTATCCCTTATTTAATGTTCCATTCATGTACATGTGTGTTCCTGTCTGAATTTTTGTGTGAATCATGTGACCTAAACGAAGTTCCTATCTCATGAAGCTATGAGTATTATCTGTTACTGAACTAGAACGTTTGCGAGGTTTTTGATATTACAAGGATTGACTTTGGTCAGTAAATGCTATATTATGACGCCGTCTGTCAGTGAGTATTATATAACAGAATGACGCTCATCCCACAAGGGATATAATAAAATCCTACTTTGATTGTATGATAGGATATAGCCTTGATGTTTTTTTTTTAATCTCCTTTCATCAGAAATTTAGTAATGAAGAATGAAATCAAATTTACTGAACATAACTGTAGATGTGCAGCGTTAAAATCAAACCATGTTATCTACGTTGAATAGTAGAAAGATATTTTTACTGTTTCATGTGTATGAAAGTGACGAGGTGAACCACAACTGGGTGTGTAGATTAAAATAGCGCCAAAACAAATCACAGTAGATTAGTTTCACAGTCTTTTACATTTGTTCGACCAGGAAATGCGTCTGGAAACCCGTTTCAAGTTACAAAACTAATTGTATTTTAGGTGAAAAAAAAAATAAATTGGGTTTTATTTCAAATTAAAGTTTTCTGTATTACAGGTGAAAAAGTGACTATGGGAATCACTACCCTTCTGTCGATGACAGTGTTTATGATGTTAGTTGCAGAGAACATGCCCCCAACATCCAACGTGCTACCTCTGATAGGTAATGTTCACGACATTAATAACAAAAAACAAAAAAAACAACAAAAAAAAGAGCAAACAATCAAAATACAGAAATAAGGAACTATCAAAATCATTTCAATAATTTGTGAGCTTAAAACGAAATTGTTGAAGAAGCGCAAAAACAAGCCGGGAACAATAGACATTTCATTATTACATAATATAGATGAAGGAAACTTTATTATGAGACCATCAATATTGATTTATTTCAACTTCTAAAAATACTTCGTTGAATTTAGTAAGATTTCAATAAGGGTTTATTAATTTTAGAATAAAAATAACTGCATTATACCAAATCAAATGCTGTGGCCAGGGAACCAAAATAAGAATTAAATGTACATTGCATTTATAAATGGGGAGTAAGTAACTATTTTTAAGTCTGATTCCATTAAAACCAACATTCTACTTCCGGTTTAGGCATCTACTATGGAATTACGATCATAATCGTCTCCTTGGCGACGGCAATGACAGTATTTACTCTTAACATCCATCATAAAGGACACAGAGGGTATCCGATATCTCCAGTCCTTAAGAAAATCTTCTTTGGAGTCTTCGCCAAATTGATGTGTGTGAAAATGGACACTTGTGGGAATAGGTCTAAAGTCACGGTGAGTTCTTCAATTCTGTTTCTTTGGAGGGTTTGTGATCTTAAACTATGCCTATTTCTAAATTTTATTTTAAAATATTCTAACATTCGTAACATGTTTTCAGAATCATATCACTTCGTTTAATATATATGTATCTTTCAAAAAATTTCATATCTAGAAGCACACAGAAAGACTTTATACATTTACATGAGTATATATTGTATTTTATTTAATTTCCTCTGCAGCTTCAAATCATAAACCATAATCGAATTTTACAGCAGTTAAAACAGTATTGTACATGTATTAATATCAATTATTAAAGTTTAATAAAGTATTCCTTCTAGACTCGTAGAGATTAATCCCCTTATACTATTATCTATTCAAAACCATACTTACCATGACATACCAATGAAAAGGTAAACAAATTAATGTAATTATTGTATTTCTTCAGTTCACCCCAGACTTTACAAGCAACATGGCCAATAACTATTCACCAGTTTCAAAGATATCTGAAGTAGAAAGGACAAAACTGTTAGAGGTAAAAACAAAAAAAAGAGATTACTTTTTTGTATTGTTATATCACTATAATCTGTGTGTCTTAGTAGACATATTCTAACGAAAAAGATACGCATAAAACTAGTTACCTTTTATGAATATAATTTTACTTGAGAGAATTTGTTCAAACACGTTATCTTGCATTTTTAAGGACCTCTACTATCAAACAAAAAAATAGGAAAGTTTTACCTCTTTGTTAGTCTTAGCAATAAAACAATTTTACCATTTAAAAATAGTATTTCTGTTGTACATTGTAAGTCCTTATTTTGATATGGACATAGAGGAATGGATCTAAAAGAATCAGTATTTGAAAAACAAATTGTTATATTTTTCTACATTTTGCTTATACCTTCTGCATATATACTTTCAATTATATGTTTCTGCCAACGATTGAACAGAATTATTTGTATTTCAATTTTGTTGGCCATAGAAAAACATCAGGAAACGAAATCAAATAATTCTGAATATTATAGGATGGTGTTCGGCCATGTTGTTGTCATAATGAGAGACAAACGATGAATCACAGCTATGAAATGAAACCAGAAAACAACGTCCGGAAGAACCACACCCCCGATCTCCATAACAATCAGACGTTCGCCAGTCCGAGCAGTGAAGCGGCTAGTACACTAGAACTTAATTTCTCCAAAGTGCTGAGCAAGGTTTGCCATACAATAGATAACAACGAATCTCGCCAGCGAGAGCAGGATGTACGAGATTCCGTGAGATATGAATGGCAACAACTGGCTCTAGTTGTGGACCGAATGCTTTTGACGGTTTTCATGCTTGTGACTCTAATTATGACCTCTGCAATCATGATGCAAGGTCCGTTAAATCAAGCATAATTAAAGAAGTGTTAATTAATATAAATTTATCTTTTCTGAGCGCACACCATTGATACATTAGCTGCATTTCATTTCCGGATTTTTTTTTTTGAAATTTTCAATTTTTCATTTCCGACATTTTATAGTTTTCATTTCCGACATTTTCAACTTTTCATCGACATTTCACGCAAAAGAAAGGAATGAATGAAAATATATACCTCTAATGTGTATGCTTTGTAATTCATATCGAAGAAATGTTCTGTTATCCTATCCTTATGTATTTACTGAAGAGAGTAATTGACGTTCTAGAGATATTTGTGCTGACTTGAAACCATCATGGAAAAATAAAAAGTCGCAATTTACTGGTACCTGTACCTTTGGTTAATAAATACATGTGGTTCAATTGCGGGTTCTTCTAATGTAATAGTGAACGTTTTGTGAACAGAATTATGTGTGAACATTTTGAAAACCTAATAATATTTATCTGTATTAAATCTTCTGTTTATTTGTTGACTTGTATTCAATAAAAACGCATAAAACTAAATAGTATTTAGCACAAGAAACAAAGGCATTTACTACAAGTGATCTTCAATTTGCTTTTGGAGATCTAAATATGGAATTTTTTTTTTGGCTTGTAAAGTATTCAAGTTCGAGATGATTGTTTTTGTAAAACGGTTATTGATTCCTCAATTTCATCTTATTTCATTTTATCTTTCATATCCTTCTGTTTTATTCCATAATTACTGGAAATCTCTTCTCCAATCTCAGTTTTTTTTTAATATTATGTCACTACCTTATATAGGGCTCTAACGTCTACATTTGGTCCAAATTTTAATCTACTTACTAATTGAAATATATTTTATTGGCTATTCATTTTTTATACAATCTTTTCAACTAACTATAGAGTGAAACATGTAATTTTTCTACTCTAACTTCACCTTTTCTTAGTTTTTTGCATTCATGATGAATAGCATTATGCTTGTTCATGAAGTCGAATGCTGACTGACGTTTTTCATACTAATTGTTAGGCCATTATTTAACATTAAAACTGTCTACGAATTTTCCCGTTTTTCCGATCATGACAAGAAGCATTTCGCGGATGTGACAGTCGGATGGGGATGCTTATTCCTCCTCCATGGCACCTGATCCCACCTCTGATGTTTTTAGAGATCCGTGTTGACTCTGCTCCTGATTTGTATTTTTTCTATGGACATTTGAGCTTGATTACTATTTGTTATCTCCACATTTGATTAAAGAGCATTTTTTCTGTAATTTACAATTGTCAACAGAATAAAGAAAAAAAATGTATATATTGTGAATCATTTTTTAAGTAATCAATTTTTTTTCAAACTGATGTTCAATGTATGGAGAAACACAGGATTAATCAGATTGCATTATACAGATGTGTCACGCTCTTCTATCCACACAATAATTGTTATATGACATCTGCAAAAATTCAATTAAAAAAAAAAAGAATGAAATTCTGATATTCATTAAAGAATTTGTTTAGTTACACTGCATTAACAAAGATGTAATGAATATATTTGCATTGGATTTTGGTGACATTAAATGTTCTGTACAAACAGATTGTTTGGAGTATAATGTAACCATGAGAATTTCCGGCAATCGCGATAAAAGAGGTGATTGTTTTTCTAGCTTTATTAAACAGATCCGTCGGAAATCCTCAGACTTGTTTTTTTTTTCTTTTTCTGGAGGTCATTTGAAACTACCATTGTGACCATTGTGGTTCTTTAGTACAAATTCGTGACAAACACTCCTGACGCTTGAGGAGTGTCACGAATTATTCATGCTTTAAAAATTTGCAATTTTTAGATTCATTAATTTAAAAAATGAAGTTTTTCCATGTACATGTAGCAATATAAGCTCTCTATCCTATATATAAAGTAAAATTATTTAGACAAACCTACAAATCATGTACATAATATTCTTTTCTTGGATTAAACACAGTGGACAGATATTTCCAATCGATAGCATTTGGGTGAATAATGTGACCTGTGACCAAAACTCTCAGTGGGCTCCAACACATATTCTACCTTAATCAATCATTTTGAAACACCACTGTGTAAGAATCTGGAAGGAAATCGTTCTTTCATTGACAAGCCTGGTCTTTTTATAAATTAATTAGAGTTTGAAAGAATGACTACAGTTCTAAGGTCGCTTCTTGCATGATCTATCATTGAGTAAAGGTACATGGCTTAATCTCTGAATGGAAGAAAATGAGTGTCGAGAATTAAGTGGATATGTGCGTAGATATCATAAAAAGCATAGTATTCTGATGATAAATATTTGCATGGTAAAGTGGAGCATCCCCTTGCAAGTGGAATTTTTCACTTGCTTTCTTCACAGCAGATAGACTAGCAGATGGCACTTTGAAGGAAAACAATCATAGCCTTTAACTAGGGGAAAGTAAACATACAAAACTGGGTGATAGAAATATACAACGATACAACGAACTGGATAAAAATCATATCCAATCACTAAACATAGAATATACCTTTTTATCAAACCTTCATACATACTTTGAATGGTTTTTATCCTTCTTTCTTTTGAGAGTATGGGGAAAGCATGCTGGTTGGAAAACTAGCATTATATACAATTATTTAAAACAATATCAAAACAACTTGCGCAAAATAGAGACACCTTTTGCTATTAACATATTTTAGAATTTTCTTGAAACATTCTTGCCGACTTTGCAACAATGAATAAAATTCTAATTTTATGGAGATACACATAAAGAATTTGATTAGCCATGAATTATACAAGGCGACGTAGCAGCTATGAGTTACTAAAGGGTTTTATTTTATTTTAAAAATATGACATAATATTTTCTCATTAGATGTCGATTAGAACCTTTTGCTTTGAACATTTTAGCCACATTACACAATGATAAAGCCATATGATACATCAACTCTTCCTCAAGGTTATCTCTAGATAAGCTTTTCAAACAAACGTGCATGTCAAGATGCATGTGAATTTAGCATTAAGGAGAAGGTCTAATAATTGGTTTTGAAAATGCCAGCAACTCATTAATCTAGCTCGTCAGCTTCCTAATATTTATCAAATCCTGATAAAATGTCTATCCTACAGCACATAAATTTGATTACAATTTTCCATTAGTATCCATATCACATACGAATATTTGTCGCCCCCTTTTACTTAATAGCTTCAGGGCATTGCTCCTCTTATTCGTTTTAAACTGTAAATCTGGTGATATAAATGCTTTAATGTATATACAAATGTCGTTCATTGTACGATTTACCTCATAGTCAACGCTGATCATACACGCACTAGAAACTGCAGCAAATTATAATTAAAAACAAGAGGCCCAGGGGCCACATCGCTCACCTGAGCACTGTGACCAGGAAAAAAGGAAAAATCAGGTTAATATTGAAAAGCTTAAATGTATAAGTGGTCCCAACCTACCCCTAAAAGGGAGTGGGGGTATGATTTGAACAAAATTAAATCTACACTAACCAAGGATGCTTACATAATTTTTTGACTAACTGTGACTTTTTTCTCTACAAGTTTAAACTTTCATTGTGGCCCCACCCTACATCTGGAGGTCATGATTTGAACAAACTTGAATCTACACTATCTGAGGATGCTTCCATTTAAATATGACAAACAGTAGCTTTGTTGTTCTTGAGAAGATTTTTGAAGATTTTTCCTATATATTGTTATGTAAAACTTTGATCGTCCATTGTGGCGCCACCCTACCCCAGAGGGTCATGATTTGAACAAACTTGAATCTACACCGCCTGAGGATGCTACCAAATAAATATGACCAATCATAGCTTTGCTGTTCTTGAGAAGAAGATTTTTGAAGATTTTTTCCTACATAATCTATGAAAACTTTGATATCCATTGTGGCCCCACCCTTCCCGGGGGTCATGATTTGAACAAATTTGAATCTACACCACCTTCAGATGCTTCCATATAAATTTGACCAATCATGGCTTTGCTGTTCTTGAGAAGAAGATTTTTGAATATTTTTTTATATACTCCTATTAAACTTTAATCATCCATTGTGGCCCCACCCTACCCCCGGGGGTCATGATTTGAACAAACTTGAATCTACATGTACACTACCTGACAATAATTCCACATGAGTTTCATCTTTCCTGGCCCATTGGTTCTTGAGAAGAAGATTTTTCAATAATGCCATTTATTTTTTGCTATTTCGTAATTATCTCCCTTTGGAGGAGGGCGTGGCCCTTCATTTGAACAAACTTGAATCCCCTTTACCCAAAGATACTTTGTGCCAAGTTTGAATGAAATTGGCCCAGTAGTTCTGGAGGAGAAGATGAAAATGTAAAAAGTTTACGACAAAACGACGACGACAGACAACGGACAAATTTCGATCAGAAAAGCTCACTTGAGCCTTCGGCTCAGGTGAGCTAATGAAACAGAAATAGCCGTAATCTTCATGTGGAGATTTCATCAGTTATTACTCTAAAAGAAATTTGCTTATATTCCACATCTCATAATCCAACTTATTTTCACAATTTCTTTTTAAATTCTCCAAAATTAGGTTTCAGTTCTAAATACTTTTTAACATTCTAATCAACGGTAGTGAATTTGAGTTACTGCACCTATTAATATTTACCATATTCAATAAGCGGTGTACATGTAAATCAAATGCGGATTCTCAAATTTCCAAATACTTTTTAAAAAAAATTAAAATTACATTATTTTTCCAAAGCCAGCAGCATAAAAACATTTTACTTTTCTGCGTTAACATTCAAACATAAAGACCATCATAAACAACTTCTTCTTCAATAGCAATGGAACGCAGAAATTTTGATAACTTTTGCTTTGTCATTTGCAAAGTTACTTTGTAAAAATCATTCTGAGTTTACATAAAAGTACTCTGAAGTTGATATTAAAAAGATGCTGGAGTTCCACATTTATTACATCTATGTGTGTAGTTTTTGGAGATCAGGTCTTCCAACCCAATGGCCACTAAGTCTGCTTAATTTTGGTCGACCTTTTTTTATGTTTTTATGGAGCAGAATTTATTCACAAAGGTCTACATGAGACGAGGAAAACTTTTGACGTGGTCTTAATTTTAAGATTAAGACATTTTTATCAATTAACAATGAATATTTTCCTTATATGTCGACTCGATACGTCAGTGTGAACTCGATCCAAGTTATTACTGAATAGCGGGATTTTAGCGAGATGTTAACTTTGCTTATTCCAGAGGTTTATAAGTAGTCCGCTAAAACTTTAATCGCTAAATGCACCCTTGTATATGTCTTCTAAACACAAGAAAAATAACTTTTATCAGTTTGTTTCTAGACATTATACCTTTTTGAGCTCTTGTGTTAATCGCGTATTCAGACGCGCAAATGTACCAGATATTAGTCTGGAAGAACTAAGGAAATAAACAACTAAACATATCAAAAGTGAGGATTTCAGCTCTTCTATCCCTAATTTCGCCATGTATGCAGTAATACATT